CATATGACCAAGGATGAGGTCATATGAGGTCATGCACAGCCATGCACAGCAGGTCACCTGACCATCCAATCCTTCCAGCAGGTTCCAGCACATGCCAAGGTATACCAGCTACTTCCATGTCATAAAGGCTTAGTCATGTCTCTTGACCAACCAATGAGCTGGTGCCCTGACATCTGCCCACAGCCAACCAACAAAATGAACAACTGCGATCATGCCATTGCTCTTGAGAGAGCAGAAGAAGCTCTTATTCATCTGGATGTGCAGGTAAGTGTCTCTTTTTTTTCTCTTGAACATGCTGGCTGAGTCTTATAGCACCAGGCAGACAACATTGCTGAATCCATGGGCATTGTCTTTGTGAGTGGTCCACTCATCAAATGAGCAGCAACACTGTATACCAGACTAGCCCACAACTTGATTATGGGCATCGGAATTCTCCCTGCACTTTTTGTGGGGCTGGTGTTTGACTTCATGCAGTTTGTTCTTGACCACATGAAGAATGGCACCTGTGGGATGTTTGACAGAATGGACTTTTTTGCTTGGTCCTTAATGATTGGAGGTGCATTGCTGTGCATTGCTATAATAATTGTCATAGTAATGTTTCATTAGCTAGCTAGAAGTGCAACTCATATATGACATGTTCAGGAAAATGGGGTGGCATAATGAGAAAAAATAAGTAGAAGCCGGAACATATTGATATTTGGTTACATAATAAAGAGGGAAATGGAAATGCCCTACACACGGGGTCCTGAAGCAGAGGCAGACTGCCGGCCAAGGAGCCTAAATACCTCCGTAAAATTTAAGCGAACTAGGCCCTTCCGGCTTTCCATAGTATACACCATCGATGTTCGAAACCAATAGCCTAGCTGGACTGTATTGTGATCGAAATCATGATCGACACCTCTCTTTAATCATTGCCGGTCGTCGCCGACCTCGCTGAGCTAATTGATTTCTTCAGGTCCTTCTCGCACGAGTAGTATCGTCTCGTCAATTAATTTCCTCACGTCCTCTCGCAGGAGTTAGGCCGTCTCGTCCCGGACGAAGGGGCACATACTGTATGTATGTACCTACAGTACTGACAAAGCCTGAGGCACCCCAGGGACACTGAATGCTCCTCTTGCCATACATCAAATGGTCCAGAGCTCATCGTATTCCCGCATAATACAGAACCAGTCGTACAGTAGATATCTCCGAATGCTCTGATCGGGAGAAGACGGCGCTTAGGAGTAACGAGGATCGCCGAGTTCCATTGGATCGGTTTTGATGTTCCAAGCCAGAGGTATCAGACCCTCCATGAGGAAATGAGGAAATGAGGAACTACTGAGGAAATGAGGGAAAAGTCCAATGTCAATAGTATACAATGCACGCGCCTCTCCTACCTAACAACGTACTCAGACTGAGGGAATCACAGGCTCACAGCTCACAGCTTCCCATCAACCCTACTAACAGTATGCATATGCACCCCCTTGACCCTTCCCAGCGCCGAGCGGCTTGCCATCCTCTCCGGCCGCTCAGGCCTAACGACCGTCATCGAGCTCGTATCATTCGGGTCTCGAGGCTCGCCAATCGTCGTTTCCCTCAACGACCCGCGTGCGGTATCGAGTACGTAGATAGGCGAATCGGGCCTCGTTGGACTGGGACTGTCTGATAGGACTGCGGATGGGGTGGTCTGCTCCCCGCTTGTGAGAGGAGAGAGTAGGCTGGAGAGACGGGATGCTGCTTGCAGGATCGGTTGCGGGCGGGAGAGGGAGGAGTGAACCTGCAGCCGCAGGCCGTGGAGGATACTGCGCATCTCTCCTACTTCTTCGCGGATCGTGAGCGACTCTGTTTGCAGGCGCATCTCGTTCCTCCTGCTTTGGGCTTCGACGTATGAGCTCAGCCGGATAAGCCCGCCGTGCAGCGCTGCGAGGGCGGCGGCGAGACCGCCTGACGAGGGAGAGACGGGAGGGACGGTCGGCGCGGGGGGAGTGTGGAACTGGGAGGATGGGACCATGTTCATCGGGTAGGGAGGAGGAAGGTATGAGGCCGGGTAGGGCATTGTTGGGGATACCGATACCGACTGCGGCTGGGGTTGTAGAGGCAATAGAGCCTGTTGTATTTGGACTGGCGATTGGGGTTGACTAGCGTGCAAGGGAGATGTTGGCATCTCAAGATCGCTCCACAACCGCTCGTACGGCGTGCCCGAACGGGAGAACACGCTGATGCTGTTCCGGTACTCCTCGTGATCCTGCCACACGAGAGGATACGGTTCCGGCCCGCTGACTCTGAACCATGGTCCTAGTGCGCGGCCCACACTCGTCTCCAGCTCCTGCTGCGCTGCCTCTGAATGGGCCACTTTCGTTTCCAGTTCAAACACCCGCCTGCGCAGCTGCTCGTTTTCCAGCTTGAGGTCGTCCATCTTGCGCTCGAAGACGGAGAAGAAACCCTTGAGCTTGTCGTATGCGCAGGAGGCGGTATGCGAGGGCATGTCGCAACGCGGGAGCACGACTGGGCAGCCGAAAGCCGCTTGCGGGCAGGGGATCGTCACGTCTGGGCATAGGGCGAGATGGGCTTGCATATCCGCTGGGACGAGGAGCGTCTCGCATGCAGGGCAGGGTACTTCCGCGCCTCTGCACTCTGTTTGCTGGTGTTGTAGCAATAAGCCGCGTCGCACTTGCTCGTGACACGCGTCACACTCGACCGGAGCGTCGGAACAATGGGACTCGCGGTGATCTGCCATGTCCTTCCGCATGAGAGTGACGTCGCACCCCAGTCCGGTGCATTTTTCGAGCGCGTATTGGCATGAATCGCGTAGGTGCGCGTCCTTCAGACAGCGCTGGGGAGTGGCGAGACACCCATCTCGTGCGTGGGGACAGACGACGAGGAGCTCATCAACCATCTAGAAGACGTTTCAGACGCGTTTGAAGCGGGCGGACGAGTACACACCTGACGAATGATGATTGGTGCTGGAATCAACGACGCGATAGAGGTGGGACAGCGACACATAGGACATTGTGGAGCGATAGAAGTGGCTTCCTTGATGCATAGGAAGCAGAAGGTGTGATGACAATTTGTGGTAGTATACGGGTCAATAAATGGCATTCTAGAGCGTATTTCAGGATATTTTTCGATCAAGGAGTGAGATTACTGACCGACATATTGAGCAGAACTGGAAGATGGTGAGTACCAGTTGTCCATTGTCAGTGTGGATATGCTCACAAGGTTTGGATTGACCTCTTCTGCATACTTGAGCGAGTCTTCCATTATCTGGGCTTGGAATGAAGTTGCTGGTTGAGGGTTATCTCCCATGTCCAAAGAGTTAAGCGGTGAAAAATTAAAGTAAATAAATGATGGGGGCGCCTATCAGTCAGGGTGAGGATGGGTGGAAAAGGCTGAGGCGTGAGCGTGACGTTTTTTTCCCCTTCCGGTGTTCCCCTTTGTGGCAGTGCAACCCTATCCTGCACAGTACTTACCTCATCCCGCAATAGCCCAAATTCCGCGGATGGAATGTTCACGTTTCTCACACGTTCAACCTGACAATATGATGGTATGGGTATACTAGTATTTCATTGCTGCGAATTGACTAAAAGCGGATAAATGCGCGGATAAATGAATGGCTGGGTATCTTCCTTGACTATTTTACATTTGATCATTAATGTTGGTATGCTCTCCCTCCAATCCGGTTATCTATGAGTTGGCCGTCGTCGCGAATCCAACCTGGTTGTTCGTCGCTGATCGCCAAGAGTAAGCAACGATCCGAAGAACGGGCAGAATAAACTCACTGTCATAAACAGAGTAGAACCTCTCAAGGAAAAGGTACCCGTTGATAAAGTCTAGTCCCTGTCCGCTCGGGCTGCCCAAGTCGGACACAACGGAGTAGAACGCGCTCGCGTTACCGCCGTAAAAGGTGTTCAGAGCCTGGTCCAACACCTGATCCTTCGCGGTGAAGGGATATGTCACGCCTCCAATCTGGAAGTTGAGCGTCTGCAGGCTGTTCACCTGACTCGCCGGGATCTCGAGCAACCCCGAGTTCTGGTCGATCGTTGCCCCAGGGATCGCCTGCATGTACTGATCGAACACGTCCGTGGCGAGGAGCACGAGGGTCGTGCCGGTGTCGACGATCCCAGCAGCGGAGAGGAGCTCAGTGGATCCAAGAGAGATCGTCTGGTTGATACCCCAGTACTGGCCCGCCGGCTGGGTCTCGGTGATGGGCACGCTGAACAAGGGTCAGTGGTCCGTCCCCTCCACAAAGTGCAAACTACTCACTAGTTAATAGCACCGGTCGTCTTGGATGTGTCGACGCCTCCGAAGGTCAGCTCGCCATTAATAGCGCCGTTCTCAGTGGTTGGGGCGTAGTAGATCCCAATCACTTCCTGGGCAATCGATCCCTGCGAGAGCAAGTTGTCCGTCACGGTCGGAACGGTGGTCGTCCGGCTGACAGTGTCCTCGGTCAGGTCGGCAGGGCCGATACCGATGATGCCGTCAACGCCTTCGAATCCCTGCGAGCTGGTGGCTACGCCGATCGACTGCTGGTTGATCACGAGTCCATTTCCGAGGCTGACGGTGTCAAGGTCTGCTCAAACGTCAGCGACCTTGCGAAGCTATACTCAGCAGAATCACGCACATTCTTTCCCCTTGAACATGCCAGAGCCGTATGAGACAGTGATACTATCGCCCGTGCTCTTACTAGAGCTGCTCGGCTTGTACTTCGTCGCCGCGCCGACCCAAGTGTTGCTCGAGCCCGTATCGATCAAAAGGTTGAAAGACTGCTTGTTGGTCCCAACCTGCACCTGCATGGTGTACGTATCCAGTGCATTCGCCACGCCGATCGACGTCGAAGTGTTGCTCGCAGTGTTGCTCGCAGTGGTGCCCGCTTGATACCCAGAAATGCCCTTGCCGTACCGGCCGGCAAGGAACTCTGAGGCGCGCCTGCGCTCGAAGTGGCCAAGGGCTTTATGGCCCGACGGCGCCGACTTGGAAATGGGCACTGTGACTAGACCCCGCTTCTCGAGCGGGCCTGCCGACGTCACAGTGACAAGGGCGGCGAAGAGGGTGAGAAGGCGGATTGAGCAGATCATGATGCTGGGTGTGGTGAAGAAAAGATCGCTAAGTTGGGCAGCCTATAAATACGGCAGCCTTGACCGGCCTTGATGCTCTAGCGAGGTCAGCACGATTCAGTTCCGTGCAACTCGAATACAAACCTATGCTTTTCGGTTCATACTGTACACCGATCTGCCAACGTGGTCAAGGGATATGATCCTTGGCAGGGGTATTCTCATCTTGGCCCACAGAATACATGGCCACCTCGACGCGCATAGAAACGCATCCCCGAACAAAGACTTGCAGGGTTCGAGGGCGGTACCGATTAGTTAGCAAAGAGCAAAACCCCCCAACTTCCGGGATTGTGTGTATGGTAACAGATTTGCTGACCCATGAATTACGCTACGCTGGCGTGCATAGACTGCCAGCAGCAGTGTAAATGACTGTCGTTGCAATGTGTTGAGATGCCTCGTTGCGATGCCTCGTTGCGATGCCCTGCCTGTTTTGGCAGTGCGTCCCGGCTGTGTAGTCGCGAAGCGACAAGCACTGCACGTGTTTCACTCATCAGGGGACGGACGATTTCATCGATCATTCAACATTAAGATTTCTGTAATGCCATAAGAGTTACAGCCATCAATCTAATACCCAACGATCGTGGGAGGACATTTCCACATCGAGTAACAGCCTTGGTGGTGTTGACTGAGACGCAGGAGTGATCTCCGTGTGTTCAGCGTACACACCTTGGGAAATGTTTCGTTCGTTTACATGTATGGCGAAACGCAATATTCAGCTACACGTCGCATTAATTTTATATGCCGCCCTGAAAGCTGCATTCACCATTGTAAAATAACATAATCTCGCACAAGATGTAACACCCACGTATGAACTGTACAAACCCTCTAGTCGTTCGGTCTATCGAGTCCGTTTGGTCTTGGCCACCCGTCCATTGATCTTCTCGGTTCATGCTCCGCTTCACTCATGAACATCTCCGCGCCCGACGCTGAAACTCTTGACGTGGAGCGTACACGATACCCGTACTCCTCCCGCGGCACGTCTGGGCCTTCGTCAAGCGTGTCCGTAGTGGGCATCAGCTCATGCCCTTCTTCCCTGTCGTTTTCGGGAAGGAGCACTTGTCCTTCAGGCTCGGGTGAAGTATCTTCCTCGATTGGTAGTCCGTGGGTGTCCAGCTTGACATCCGATTCGAGCGACTTCTTGTACTTGTGCCACGTGAAAAGTGCGATCCCTGGCAAAACATGTCAGCACAAGAGAATGGCATAGAGATGGATACCTACCGATTATGGTTATGCCCACGCCAGTGATATTCACAGGTGTGAGGTGGTCGCCGAAGAGCCAGGTGGAGACGCTGATGGTGGAGACTTCTTTGAAGATGCCCGCAATGGACATAGGTAACACTCCGGCACGCTTGATGATGCTGCAAACCCTCGGATCAGTCGAGGACGAACGAAGCTGCTCGAAAGGCTTACTAGAACTCGCTCAGCACCATCAGGAAGGCGATCAAGCCCGGGAGTACCACAAAGAAGAGTGTCTTGAACACCCTTGTTCCCTGGAAGAACTCACTGGTAAAGACATTCCACAGTCCCTCGACGACAGCGCTGGATATGAGGAGGGTGAGGGCCATGATCGGCGCGAGCCAGTAGAGCGTGCTCGCAGGCGTATCTAGACCCATATCGTGTTTTCTTAATAAGAGCTGGGTGAGACTCCATCGGAGGCCGCCGCACGCCGAGGCGGATAAGACGAGGATGGCTCCGATAAGCACGAAGTGGGTCTCGGTGAATACCATGAGGAGAACGCCAACTGTGATTATGAGAATTACGCCGACAAGGAAGAGGGAGGGCCGTTCGAGGCGGAAGAGGAAAGCAAACAGGAGCACGAAGCCGAGGGAGGAGGACTTGCACATCGCTGTGGAGGCTGTTAGCGGGGAGTGTAACGGGAAAGGGTTGGCGTACTGTAGAAGGAAAGGGTGATGGTCTTCAGACTCAGGTTGGAGAGTCCGATGTCCAGCCCGGTAGTGACCGCACACGGTATTATCTTCGATCTTATTTCCCATGAGTATGCATCGTCATGATAGCAAATAATGCACGCACCCATATTCTCTTCTGCTCGGCCGCCCAGGGGACTTCATCAAGCTCGGAAAGAGGAATCTTACGAGAGCAGCCATGCACCACTGCACGATCATATGTATCGTTGTGACAAACAATGGGAACGGAAATCCAAAATGCTCCGGTGAGAACATCCATTTGTTGTATACCGATAGGATGGTTGCGAAGAGATACCTTTCGGATCATCAGCACCGACCCCAACAACGTGGAGGACACAGACGCACCATCCCAGGATAAAGAACGCATTAATCACAGCGTTCCGAACCCAGAGCCACTTCTTCTGCTCAACAGTCGCCAGTCGTGGTGGGACACCGCGATCATCCCTCTCCCTCCTGTCATCTGTGAACGCCAGCTCAGCCTCGAGCGCCTCGAGCGAGTCTGGTCTCCTGGAACTGGCGGAGCCGTTTGGGTGGTAGTCCTCCATCGGGGCGAGGGTGTAGTCATTTTTTGCCATCAGTATGGCGGCTCTTTTCGGTGGGAGATATATCTGAGATGTACAGAAGGGGCGTCGTCGTTGAGAATATATAACTGATGATGGTCGAGGAGACAATGCCAATGTTCTAAGCTACTCCTAGTCTCGGACCCTGACCTCCTCCTCTCTCCTACTCCCTCAAGGACACCCATGGCCACATCAACCGTTCCTCTCCCCGAGCCAGAGCCAGTCGCACCAGAACAACCAGACCCAGCGAGAGAGGCCAACCGCGCCCGGTTCGAAATCGAACTCGAGTTTGTCCAAGCACTCGCCTCGCCGTTCTACCTCGAGACGCTGGCACAGAGAGGTTACTTCCAGCAGGAAGAGTTTGTCGAGTACCTCAAGTACCTGCGGTACTGGAGGAAGAGAGATTATGCCCGGTTCTTAGCGTACGTTGATCTTCGTGTTGATCATGGACATGGGCATGAACTGATGCGCAATAGATATCCTCAAGCACTGCACCACCTCGAACTCTTGCAGGAAGACTCCTTCCGCAAAGCGCTCTCCAACCACAACGTCATCGTAGCGCTCGACAACCAACAGTATCAACACTGGAGAACATGGTGCGTATCCTTCCATCCTTCACGGCGAAATTCTGACTGACACGACGATGAATAGGCGGAATAACCCTGCCATGCAGCCTTTGCTGAACGTCCCCCCGCACCCGACAACGTTACCCAAGTCTGAGAGCACTCCTTCCAAGCCTCCCACCAGGCCAGCACCAACAGCCAGCACGTCCGACCCACCTCCAACCTCCTCATGAACGCCACCACCTCCCCCTCCTCCTGGCCCCTTCTCGGTGTCAGGATGGGCAAAAGAACAAGGTCCAAGCAAGCAAAGGGTATGTATTATTCACTGGGTCTCAGCACCGTATGCACTAATGTACGTCTCTCGGCTATGTGCAGATGGTATGGTACAGATAATGCATAGGATATCCTAGTGCGGGTGATCGGTCTATTCGGTCGGGGTTGCGATGGGCGAAGGTGGTACTGTAGGGTATGTCAGAGTAAGAGTAGGATAAGAGGATGATGGTATCTCCCCCATGAGGGCAAGCTGTCGAGGCAAGCAACGCCGCCTCAAACCGGGAGTCATAACACCCTCCCAGCTCTCTCCGTCCCCAACCTCCTCTGGCTCTTCCTCGCCGTATACGTCCTCATCCTCCTCCACACCACCTCGCTATCGTTGCCCTCATCCATATACTCCTCCAACCCCTTGCGCCACGTTTCTTCTCGCGTGAGCTCGTCACCTGTCAGATGGGTGTGCGGGGGCTCAACTCGGTGCAGATATCGCGCCATCACCTCGGTATGCTGTGTGCGGTATCGCATGTCCCTACGCAACCCAATAATAATAAACATCTTTTGCCCTTGTCCTGCCCACACAGATCAGACGCACCGTTCATATCGATCCATGAGGATATCGAACACCTCCCTATCCCTAGCCGTATCCTCCCGTCCCAGGAGGACAGTCACATCCGTCCATTCTCCCATTCCAGGGCCCAAGAGCTGCACACGATCCACAACGATCTCATCAGGCAAAACGCCTCTCAACCGACTGCGAATCTTCAGCTTCTCCTCAAGCGTCACCTTGTCTGCCCTGTCGAGCTCCGCAAGCCTGGCAGCATCTCTCTCCCGTTCTTGGCTAACGACCTTCTGATGATGCTCGATCAGCTCTCGGGTCTCGGCCGTGCTAGCCCCTCCCCCTTGGACCATCAGGTCGATACTTGGGGGTAACCGGCCCTCGCGAGCCTCGGCCTCTCGCTCCGCTTGCCGACTGCTGATTTCCTGCCTCTCAAGCGCGCGCTGTTCAGCCAAAGCGTGCTCGTTCGCCCTCAGACGGCGGTACTCTTCCCACATCGCCTCCTTGACCGAGAGGACGGCGGCTAGCTGCCGGGGCCCGTTCGTGTGCTGGATGTTGATTATGTGCTGGGAGTTGAGGGTGGTGTTTGGGAGGAAGGTCTCGTTGGATACGAAGTGGAGGGCGTTGTTGGGTAGGGTGGAGAGGCCCTCTTGGATGGGGGAGATCAGCTTTGGCATGGAGAGGAGGGAAGGGAGAGACGCACCCGTATCGTAGAACGGCATCTTAGCGGTCTTAACACCCCAAGGCTGGGCAGGGAACACCAGCGGCGGGGTCACCTACCAACCAGCACATGAGCCCCCCTCTACGCTACACATCAGAAGAGAAGTAGACGCACCTGTACATCAACAAGATAGGTATTTATAAACAGCTGGATCCCCCCAGTAGGCTCCTGGTTAATCCCCCGACTCTGCCATACAGAGTTGTAAAGTTTCTCAAGCACTGCACGCATCAGCCCACGCATTGCCTCACAAGCAGATGGTACATACAGGAATGGTCATGCTCCTCAGGTAAGCCAAGTAGCTGTTCCCTAGTGAGCGTGTACGCTCCAGTCGCTGCAACCAGCCCTTGCCCAGTGCCAGTGCCCGTGCCCGTGCCGTTACTCGCGACCTGCTTCAAGCTCAAGCTGCCGCTGCTCACAGAGGCAGGACGAGGGATGTCCTGGCTCAAATTTGCGAGGGAAGCGAGGGAGGAGAACGTCGACGGCGGCGTATTGTTATGGATATGGGTGTTGGTGCTGGGGCGCCGTTCCCCGAGCGCGTCCACAGCCCCAGGGAGCGTAGCTGCACCACCGGCGGCGGCGCTGGCCTGCCCCTTCCCATTAGACGGCGAGCCGGCGGCGCTGAGTGAGTCGTGTGGTGAGCCGGGCTTGGTCAGCGTTGGGAAGACGATGTCTTCGTCTACGAACTCGAACGTTCCTCCTGGCTTGAGGACGCGAGTGACGTTCTCGAAAAAGTCAAACCACTGTTTCGTGTTAGTTTCCCCCTAGGGAAGAACGTAAGAAGCAGCAGGGCGGGCACACCTTCGTCTCCGGCACACCGGCACTAACGAACCAACAATGTACATGATCGAACTGTTCTTCCCCAAAGGGGAGTTCCTTCTCCAAGAAATCCGAGGTGACCCAGCTAATCCTCCCCTCGAGCTCTGCCAGCTGCTTCCCAAGCCGAGGATGCACGGGCACCGCGTCCAAGCCAACGAACTTGCACTGGGGCCATTCGCGCGCTGCGGCCAGGATCCAGGAACCGCTGCCGCACCCGATGTCGAGGCAAGACTGGGGCTGCTGGGAGGGAGAGGGAGGGAAGACGTGGGATGACACGCTGCCCTTTACGCGGCGGATCACGTCCGTCGTCAGTATCTGGCTGTGGGGGGTCAGTGAGGACTCCTGCGAAGGTGAGCTGGAGCTGGTAGGGACGTACTGGTCCATCATTTCGTCAGAGAAAGAGACAGGATAAGGGATAGCCCCCAATGCATGTCTCTCACGACCTTTCCACCCAAACCTGGGATCCAACCAGCGCCGGTCCTCTCTCTCCCTCTCCCCTCCCCAAGCACTGTCGACATCACTGTCCTCGCTCTCGTGTCCGAGGGGAAAAGCAGACCGCACGTCGGTGCTCCTCCTGCCGATACTGGAGCCAGCTGCGCTGCCCCCCGAGCGCGCTCTTCCCTGCCCCGGGGGAGAGAGTCCCTGTACAGGCGCCGGGTGCTCCTGATTCAAGCCTGAAGTTGCACCCGGCAGTCCCTCTCTCCCCCCTGCCCAAGGGACACGTAAGATCGTAGTCCGAGGCCTGACCTGCAGCGGCCTCCTTGTTCTGTACACAGAAGGCGCGAGAGCGTCAAGGTCTGCGGAAGTGTCGGGTGGTTTGACCGTGTTGGGAATGACAGGGATTGAGGTGGGCGTTGGAGGTGGGTGTGGACGATGTGGTGTGCTTGGGTGGGAGTGGGATGACATTTGTGTGATGGTGGTCGTGGTTGTTGGTGGATAGAGGGCGCGTGCCGCTGATGGAGTGAGCTATAATTCCATGGAATGGTTGAGGTGTGGTATGATGGTTGTTGTTGTCGCTGTCGCTGTTGTTGTGACTGAATTGATCTGATTGTCTGCTGTGCTGTATTGTGTACGATAGACTGATGAGAATGATAACAAAGTAAAGAGCAGCAATAAAAAGAGAAATATCCGTCTATTTCACTCTTTTTCTCTTTTCTCTTTTCTCTTTTCCCTCTTCTCTTTTCCTTCTGTCCACCGCCTTGTACACCGTTCCACGTGCAACGCCGCCCATTCTTTTTTCTCTCTTCACCGCCCATTTCATTCCCTCCTCCTTCCTCCCCTTCTCACTTGTCACAACTTATCTCCCCATCTCCGAATCACCGAATATATAACATAATCTATTTACGTAACTTCCTCGACAGCACTGCAATATTTTATTCCCTATACAAATGCGGGGGAATCGAATAACCCATTCCACGCACACTGTTCACATCCCGCATGACAACCTGCGTCGTTACTTCTCTCCGGATCATAGCAATCCACCATCTTGCAATTGTATTTCGCTTCCCGAACCTAACTCTAACTCTATCTGTCTAGCTCCTATTCCCCGCACCGAGTGCCATCTTATCCAAACCTTGTCCATGCCGCAGCCCAAGTCTATCGCTCCACAACCTCTGCCCGTCACAAACAGGAGCCTGTCCCGGATAAAAGATTCCCTCCGGTTAACGTCCTGAATGTGCTCCCATATGAAGCGACGTATGCCTGGATTGGACGTGACTTCGTAGGCCTGCTCCAGAGACAGCGCCCCCCCCAGTCTGCGTCCCCCAGTGCATATCTGATAACTGATGGCCCTTAGCACTGGGTCGCACGCATCGTGGACAGCACCATCCACGACAGCGAGGAGGGCCGCGAGGCATATCGCATCGCGCTGAGTAACCGCAGAGACGTCGGGAAAGGGGCGAGTGCGCGCAACATGTGGGACAACGCGTTGCAGATCCAATCTCGACAGGACATCAGCAAAGGGCAGATGGTGTCCCTGATCGGCACCGAGTTCAGCGGGGACGACGAGGGCCTCCGTGCGTTCCTGTACCCCCCTTACCAGACCGTCGTCTGCGATTTGCCGCGTTTGACGGGGTATGAGGACATCAAGATGAACGTGTTCGGACTGGCTCATCCGGGCCACATGCGCGATATGAGTCCTTTACTTGTTTACCGACTGTCCATACAGATCTGCCCCAAAGCATCCGCAGCTTGCACCTTCGGTCCTTAGCACCTAGCAGGCATGTGCCTCGTCTGCCTCTTACTACCACATATGCCTCACAACCCATACTCACACTCACACTCACTTGCACCGTCAGTTTATACTTGAGTTAGGGTAGGTGCAGGGAAATGTCCCATCTGACAATGTGACCGGGCATTATGTCCTCTAATCAGATATAAGGTGTTACTCACTTGAGACAAATATCAATCAGTGGCAACAACATTGTTTATTCCAGACATGTAAGTATAAACTGTGAGCATGATCCCCACCCAGAAGACAGGTAAGAGACATGCCCAGAAAGTAAGAAAACTACTACCGGAGCAGAAAAAGACAATAAGGCCTAAGCATGGCTTGGAAGGCCTGAGCTGAAGAGCTGTAGTGTGAATGGAAGGAGGGGAAGGAAAGTGAAAGAAGCAAGTATCGTTTTTGGTCTTTTAGACCTTGGGAACCCAGTTGAATGGGTTCTTTGCTAGAAATAACCTCAGAAATGAGGTCATGATTGATCAGGGTCTGGTCGACATTGACATCGACATTAACATTGGTGGATATGTATCGGGATGTGGGAGAGCTAGCTGGAGAGTGGTGTTTCTTGGGTTCTTGGGTTCTTGGGTGTTGAGTTTGGAGCTTTTCATTGCAGATATGGAGATGTTTGATAGTTTCGAGTTTGCAGAGTGTGGTACTAGATGGAACCTCAGTGTCAATGATGATGGTGATGGTGACGGTGGAGTTGAGGGGGATGATGAGTTTTCTTCCAGAGGAATGAGGTTGGAACAGCAAGGCCCAGAGAAATCCGGGAAAAATCTTGAAAGCAGTGTAGTTTGTAGTTTGTAGTTTATAGCAAGCAAGTTGGTTCAGGGATTCCAGTTTCTTCAGCAGAGTTTCATAAGCACAGGGTCGTATTCTTGAGCTCAGGCCAGTTGCGGAGCAACGCTCAGGCCCATATGCATCCAGCGCGTGATATATGCATCATGGGCCCGTGTCGTGCGATGCTCAGGCCTTTGCGCGCCTCCTAGCCTCCCTCTTCGGCGTTCCCGGAGCTTTCCCCTGATCCCAGTCCACTGGCCGGTCAAACAGGATACTCGTGGGAATATCGCTCTCCTCGCCGCTACTGACAGTAACTGGCGCGGGGTCGGGCGGTCCTGGCTGGCCCAATGGGTTCCGGCGCCTTAGGAGTCGGGAGGTGATCTGGACTCTCGGAGAAGGGCGCGGGCCAGCAGGGGACGAGCTGCCAGCACTGGTACTGTCTGATCGAAGTCTGGCTTGTGCATGCGCTTGGATCATCCTTGCAATGGGGGTGTCTGGCTTTGGACCTGGAGCAGAGGCCGGTTTGGCGGTGCTGGAGGCATTGCTGGGGTTTGTATAGCTGGGTGGGTCTGCAGATAGGTAGGCACCGGGTTCGGGAACGCCGGTGCGCAGCCATTGGACAGACGGCAGAGTATTTTCCGAGCCTGAGGGCTCTACAGCAGCGGGGCGGATACACCACTCGCTTGGTGTTGACGTCAGTTTCTTGGTGCTATCCGGTGTAGGAGTACTGGAAACGCCGGAAGGAGAAGAGCGTGCCACAGGGTTGATAATGAACGGAGCGGTGGGAGTGACACGGCGCGTAGTAGGTGCATGATACCAACCGCCAGGGCCGTTATGAGATGCCAGATGCCTGCGAGCACGCGGTGACGCCGGTTCGAAATCGTCGTCCGCAATGGCATATTCCGCATCTGAGTCAGACTCATGACCGGTGACGGTCTCGCTGTCCGAATCCGTATCCTCCGAATCTTCCTTTATGACCGGTGGTTCCAACTGAAGCCCGCCCTCGGCGTCGCGCGGACGGACGGGGAGCGTAGTGCGATAGACACGCTCGCGCTTCGGAGAGGACGGACTGGTGGCTGCATCGGTAGACTCGACCATATCCTGCTGCCTGTCTTCGCCCTCGGTGCCATGAATCGTAAGTCCCAGTTCTTCTTTTTCGTGATCCACCAAGAATCTGCCCTCTTCATCGTGGATCGGAGGTAGCGGCACTTCCCATGCTCTGACCGGAAGGGGTGGTGGGGTACTAAGGTCTGGACGGTATGGTTGGGTCATGTGCGGTTCATCACCATTCTGAAGATACTGGCGTAAGCCTTGCGGCAAGGATTGATTAAGCAGATTGAATGCTTGAGATAATTGTTAGCGAGCCGCCGGCTATCATGATAGATACGCACAAGGAAAAGCGCAGTCGTGGAAGAGCGAATATAGATGTGCTTCTTCGACATGGTCATAAAGCTGGAGATTGGTTGAAAATGTCTGGTTGGAACACGTGCCGTATCTGCAAAGATAGAGGTTTTCTTGGAGGTATGACTGTTACGCGGAAAATGTCACTGTCAATGCCACAATGGACAGACATGAATGACGTACAGTGCTCAGACAGCCTGGTATTATGACTGGAAGCTTCTTGGGCCGACAGTGTGCAGCCTTCATGTGCTATATCGTGCTTAGCATTAACTCTTCGCCTAAAAAAGTTGACGACATACATAAGACAGTTTGTCCCAATTCTCAAAGACGCGCCCACACGTATTCAATGTCTTAGACTTTATTTCCTTGCTGGGAGCCATCACCGTCCAGTCACAAACCAAGCCCTCCGGGCGAACGACAGTCTTGAGCATGTTTTCATCCAGCTGTGAGTCATCATACCCAGGCAATTGCCATGAATCCGTTCCGACCACATCGTTTCTCATGACCTTCCGGTGCACGAGAGGCGAAGAAGGTCGCGTGCTTGCAGACATTGACCGCAAACAGCAGTCGGACGTGCCGAAGATGGACGAAGGGGGAAAGGGAAGCGCGTCGACGAAAATCGGTGGAAACAAGGCGAAAAGAGCGAAGGGGGCTGGGACTCCAGCGCAAGCAAGAAGAAAAGAGACCCCGGCGGTTTTAAGAGGAAAATCCGTGCCGCTTCATAAGATAGGCGCGGCATGCCGCATTTTTGCGGCCTGGCGAGCCTATTAGTGCCCGGGTAGAGGGGGAGGGTGCGAATTATTCGGCCCCTGTGAAAGAAGCCACGACTCACATGATGGTTTCAGGGGTTCCGCGGATTTTGATGATGAAGAAACGGAGATGTTTTCTTTTTTGCGTTCTTCATTTTCTCTGCAGACATTGTCAGCAAGTGTAGTGAAAGGGGAATATCAACGATAGGGAGGAGACAAGCTGGAAAGCATCCCTGGATCAGTTCATCGGCAATCTATCAAAGAAGCTCAATTCAGAAGAGGAAGAAAGAAGATAACGTGTCTCAACTGTCCGCGTTCCCATGAACGGGACCATAACCCCTGTGAAACAATATTTGTTACCTGTCTTTGTGCTCATTCATCGTTGGTTCATTAAGTTGGAGTTGGACGGGAAATTCATGCTTATGCCTAGAATAAAATGCGCGTAGCTACATCAGGTCGTAAGGATACTTGCGTAGCGAGTGAAAAGAGGATGCGTTTTCATATTGCTCATTGCAGGACAAGGAAATCATGTTCGGGCCTTACGTTGCAGGCGCGGTGTCAGAGAGTGAGCATCTGCAGATTCTGCAGGCTGAGCATACCCTCACCGGCGTGGTCTAATGCGTTCCTGAGAGCGGCCAGAACCGCGTTCCCGGTCATCTGCAGACTCCATAGACTGACGGCGCGGATGTTGCGGTTCATCCCATGTTGAACGTGGTACGCTAGTGCCTCGTATGTCTTGATGGCGATGTCGTCCATCAACCCGGTCTCCCAGAGTGTCCAGGATCCATCAAACTCAGAAAGATCCTTGACAATATGGCAGCGGATGGGGAGGAGAGTGCGATTTGCACTACATTTGAGATCAGCATCTATGTTCCGGCGGGAGAAATGTGGCACTCACTTAATGAAAGCGACGATAGGTCGGATAAGAGCATTGTTCATGTAACTCAGCTCATTGGTCCACAACGGCACGGAAGCCTTCAAGTCCCGGAACCGGAGATCGATATCAATCTCCACCTTGCGCGGCTTAGTATCACCCGCCAAGTCTTGAGCGATCGCCGCTTCCTCGATCTCCAGGTCGCCCGGTACCTCCAACGCAGGACGGGCGAGTTCCCTCTGACCGGGGATCCGGTCCAGCTGTTCTGCCAGCTCGGCGGTGATGTTGCTGATGATCTGCTGCAAGTCAAGGTCGTCGTCCGGATGCGAGGGGAAGCGGATGTCCAGCACGGCATCAAGTTTCCCAGATTGGATCCAGGACCAGAGACCCACATCAGAGGAGAGCGTCGCTTTGAGATGATCGATGTTCACACCGTCAATCCGCAAACGTGACTGGATCGTATCAGCACGCAAAGCATACCTACACGAGAAGGTGTATGCTCACCAGGCGCTTCCACCCCTCGTCCTTCATCGCTGCATCCCTCGTCCGACTCACACTCTGCGGCTTATGCACGCTAAACAAGCAATTATCAAACTGGCCCACAATGCTCTCAGCAGAGATGAAGTCATAGCACATCCACTGCCGGCGGAATCGGCCAATCTCAGCTTTGTAGATCGAGACGAAGAAGGGGCGGAAACGCTTCGTTTGGTATACCGTGATGAGCGCGTCCTCGATCCGTAGGGACTCGAGCTCGAACGCTCCTGGCGACCCTTTGTGTCTGAAGTCGGCAGGGTTGTATATCCTGTCGGGGTCCCAGTAGACGTCTCTTCGGTCTGTTCATGCATGAGCTCCTGTGCACGAATAATACCAGGGACAACTCACCCATAACACCCCTCACACCCTTGACAACCGCATTCTTGACCAACCCTTTCCCGTCCAACCACCTCCAAAGGCTGAGGGTAACGTCAATCGAGTCAATATCCAGGTTGACAGTCATATAGCTCGCGCGCTCCTCCGTCGTCCCATCCTCGTTGGTCACGGTATATGTCGTCGGTTTCTGGGAGACGTAGACGTTCTTGAACGAGAGGGTAGCGTCTCTCCATCTAGGCACTGTCGCGGACTCGTAGGCGATCTCCCACCCCGTCTCGGCAGTAAGGTAGTCGCTAATCACGCGAGCGACATAATGCTGAAGCCTGAGGCTGTTGAGGGTGAACACGATCGCACCGACAAAGGTCGTCGTGCCCACAAGGAGCCACACAGTTTGGGAAAGGACGAACCAGCCGAGGAAGGTTGTGTATTCTTCTGCCGTGAATCGTCGGAAACTGCGGATGGTGAGCCAGCGGAAGCGGATGGAAAGACGTTGCCAGAACCCGGTGGCGACTTTGAGGATGTCGTCGATGGAGGGAGGGCGGAGGTGGACGGAAGGGAGGGAACGCGCGAGTTGACGGAGGTGGCGAGGGTAAAAGCGGAGATAGGCGGGTTCTTCTTGTGGTGGGGGAGGGGAGGATGGGGTGGGAGGTGACGGAGGTGACGAGGAGTTGGGTGGCGGGAATGACGATGAGTTCGGTGGGGGAGGAGGGGATTGAGGCGGGGGAGCAGTGGAGGAAGGAGATGAAGGAGCATTAGGCGGTGAAGATAGGGGAGTATTTGACGGAGGAAGGGAAGCGCCCAACTGCACAGAAGGCGGGGGAATCGTTGGCTGAGGAGAGTCCACAGTCAGATCAGCTTTTCGTGAAAAATATAAGGGCGGCGGTGGCGATTTCTGTGAAGGAGAAGGTTGCTCAGGTCTTAGCGGTGGTTGTGGTGCTGATTGGTAGTTAGGAGTTGAGGGAGCCCGTTGAGACAGGGAGGACGAGGGCTGTTCATATCGAGGCGCTGAGCTTGAGGAAGGGAATGGAGACGCCTGCGAGGAATACGGCTCCCGTGGTGCCGCCTGTGAGCCAGCGGCAGGGGGGCACTCCCCCGCCCGAGAAAATCTCGGAGGTTGCTGGTCATAATTTGGTGCAGTCGAGGGTGGAGGTTGGAAAGGCGTTGCCACCGGTCGCAATAGTTCTTCCCTAGAAAATGCCGCCCCAGAAAATCGTGGAGCTGGTTGTTCGTATCTTGGTGCATTTGAGGGTGAAGGTTGAAAAGCCGTTGTCCCCGGTCGGGATAGTTCTTCCCCAGAAAATGGGGAGGGCGGGACCGACCCAGAGGGCGAGGACGGCGAAGAGTTAGTCGGATTGGTCGAGGCGGCAGGCAGAGGAAGGCTGCTCGGAGCGGGCGGGACTCGTGTGGGAGGGGATGTAGGGGATGCGGGTGTTGTTGTTGGTAGTGTTGGGGTTGCCGTGGTCGATGATACTGAGGCAGATGCTTGCCCTGCCTGAACGGGCGCCGCACTGTCCGCTTTTGACCGCTCCAACGCCGTCTTCACAGCGGCCATTGCCGACGTCCCAGAAGCTGCGTCTCTCTCCACTCGCTGTCCATCTTCGTTCCCTCCCGTAACCGTCTCTCCTCCCTGAGGCACATCATGCTCACCCATCCTCCCGGCTTTCGGACTGCCAAAGGGTAACGCAGGCCTGACCACTCCCTGTCTGTTGTTCCTTGACCTGAACAGCAAGGGAGAGGTGGAGAACGTCAGCCCAGGACTGGGTCGAACGTTGATTCGACAGGAGCTGGTGGGAGGTCCTCCTGTCTGAAGGAAGAGCGGGGCGGACCTGGACCTGGACCTGGACCTGGTCGGACTAGGTACCCAGGTACTGGCAGCCCGGTTCCACTTCCCAGTCGAAGTACCAAGTCCACCACCGCTATCGCATGCGACCGTGCTCCTACTCCCGCTTATAACCCCGCCATTGTCCCTCCCGATACCAGTCAAAGACCTGTCAATCCTCACGGCCAACCGACCTAGCCGAGCAAGGATCATCACACAAGAGGATGGTGTGCCATCAGCTGTCCAGTGTACGATGAATGCGTGCGGAACCGGAGCTGTTGACGGAGAGCAGTAGTGCTTGTGCTGGTGTTGGTGCTGGTCGTTGGTTGTTTGGCGGATGTTGAGGTGAGGCTGGGTTAACGGATCGGGTGAGTTTGAGTTATGATCGCGCGTCAGGGATTGCCAATACAGTACCATCACATACATTGGACCGAACGTGCGTCCAACACTCAAGAAGCACATCAATGAAATCTACAGTAAATCGAGAATAGAGTGAGTATATGCTGTAAACGTTACTCCGCCATTAGAAACCACGTCGTCTCAAAATATGTTGGATGTGCTCGACTCCAATAATATAATACTGCCATCGATTGACCCTTCAGATCACGATCCCCTTCTGATACATAGCATCGTGCCACAACGTGCCGATCCAGACAAAGATGTAGGCAGTCAAATGCCATCGAGGATGTCGCGCAACGCACCCAAACTAGAGTCGAACGCCCCCACAGATCTACGGCGGTATTTCGAAGTCGACAGCGCGAGACCAAGACATGATGCAGCTCATTTCCGGGAAAATCATATCATTCAAGAGAAGAACAGTAAAATGATCAGCTACGGTCCCCTTACAAACCAAACCAAACCAGCCCAGCGTCGTATGTTCTTTGCATACTTACACGCCCAAGCAGCTACAACCCACAACCCACAGCCCCCAGCTACAGGCCAATACCAACGAGGATATACTCTCCCGCAACGGGGAAAGGCGGGCGAGTCACTACCTGCCCACCGACGTACATCATCGCGTGCAAGATCTCGCCCAAGTCTGGGGCTGCCTTGGGCAGGCAGATGACGAGGGACGTACAGGAGAGATGCTCGTCAGCCAATTCGAGGAGTGCGACGATACTGTTCATGAGCGGTCAGTAAGGTGGGATGTGGTGTAGGATAAGTGCGGGACGAACCATTCCTTCAAGTGCACGTTCTCTACCCCCGCACCGTCGACGTACAGCGCCCTCTCCCTCCCGGGGAGAGCAAGCACCGCCCCTTCCCACTTGGCACTCACACCCTCCATATAGCTCGTGATCCGCACACCCCTCGAATGGGGGAGCAACGACACTGCCGAATGTGGAAACACCCGTGCGAGGAAATCGAGTACCTGGCCACGGGCTTGGAGGGGGTTGGCCGCGTGCGGCGAGGGGGTCTTGGGCGGGGAAGGGAGTGGTGTGGGCCGCTTGGGGATCTGGAGCGGGACCGCCGCCGCCGTCGGTGCGGCGGGCCTCGTCCCACGGGTAGGGGGGAACTTGTGGCTGGAAGGAGGGGACGGGAGACCGAACGCGTTGATGAGCGTCGGTTGGGGGACCGCCCGGGTATGGTTATTATGGGTATATTGCGACGCCTGGCTGCCTGTCACACAGCCTGACGACCCGCCCCGTATGTCTGGCGGGCATTTGTCCTTGGGGGTGTCAAAAACGCCACTATTATTAAGTAGGTTAGCGTGTGCGAGAGAAGGGTGGCCTAATAGAACTGCCACAAGCGCCCAGTGGCAGTCCATAGAACCAAAGGGGGAGAATGACAGTGAGAAGAAGTGTTTGTACTCACCCCTGGACCCCCGCTGAAGGTAGTAGAGTAATAGTAGATATTGCCCGGTGCGTCCTCGAGGTTTGCCACAGCAAGTGCACCAGGCATAGCGCTAGTTATCTTCATTGCCCCATCTCCGACGCTGGTGCGAAGAGCGTCGCTGTAGAATATTAATGACCAGGGTCAGTGGATGTGCAGGATGATTTGATAAGGGAAGAGAACACACGTGGGGCGTATACTAAAGTGTTTGTTGGGCGATATATTGGTACTGATTGACATGGTTAGCCAACTTGGGTGTTGCTATTGCGTATTGAACAGTATTGTTGAATGTCGATGAATGGATAATTGTCCGTAATCCGAAGAAAAGATTAATGAACAATGTAGAGCCGTTTCCCTGTCTCACGCGGGAGTACTTATGGACATTCGTAAGTTCATTAGAGACCGGCCCTAAACAATTGCCGAACTCATGCCTTGCCGATGCCGATGTATCACCCTGCCGTATAAACGTGCTTTGGATCGAACGCCGAATTGGGTAATCGGCAGCACCGGTGGGGTCACCATTTCCCATTATAGGAAGCTTCCTCCATCGTGACTAGTCATCCGATACATCTCACACCTAAACCCCCCATCGTGCCGCCCGATCCTCAGAATCCCCCAGAATCTCTCACTCGGCCCTTTGCTTGATCAGGCAAGCCCAGCTATCCAATCCCAGTCTATTATTACATTGTTGACCTTTATCCCTAATATTACCAAGCGCGGTGCCGACGCGCCCGAGGTGAGATAGGCAACTCCTCCCCCGTGATCCCCTGCTTAGCGAGAAGAAGCCCAGCCTCTCGGCCCTTCCAAACTCCGCTCGAGAGAAGGGGCAAGATACGCCCAACACAAGCGCGTCTGGGGTCGGGGCGGAGTCCCCTCTGCTTTTAGTTCGAGGGGGTGATGTTGATCCTGCGTCAGCTGGGGTGTGTGCTGCACATTCGAATTCGAGTTCGGATTCGACGTTCGAACGACGCTCCAAACGACGCTCCGAACGACATTCCGAACGAGGTCCGAAAGGACTACGAGAAGACATTGGAAGGAAGAATGGACCCTATACTACACAGCCTTAGGTAATATCAATTAGAGTAGGATAGTTAGTCCGAAAGTCCGAACCGCTCCGAACGTATCGAGGAGGATTCGAGTACTTCGGATAGGGACGCTTCTTCGACTCTGGTTATCTCCCTCAACTTACCTTATACTTGATACTACACTTTCCCCTACAGTCAATCATTACTTTTGCCCCCTGATTCTCTTTCTGACCACCAGTTCCAATCCTCGAATACCGCTCCACAACACTCGTTTACTAGCCTTTCGAGTCCTCTGAACAACTCCTTCACTTCGGACGCAGATCGACTGTTTAATCGGCGATTACGACACCCCTGTTTCCTGCATCCTGGATGGCGGTTCTGGCATTGTGGGCATCAGCGAGCAATGTTGTGAGCAAATTGGTCTTGGCTACTCTCCAGTGAAAAGTCGGCGAATGGAATCCGCAAATGGGTAGGCATCGGCCACGCTTCTGCCTGGGGTTTCGAAACGCACCGCAAACCCTCGAATCGGTCTTCGGACCTCTCGCTCCTTCGAAACTACCTTCGATTCGGCAGATACAGATACTACAACTTGGAACTACTACCACCTAGGCTCAAGCTACTACTGTACTGTCAAACTCCCCCTTCCAGCGGACTTACTCCTGACGCCTCATTGGGAGGAGTTAGAGTACAGGTGTATCGTGGGTTGGATAACTCATGGTATACGCATGTTAATGTACTGTGTGTACGATACCGACCTGAAACGAGGATCCGGACTCCAATGATCCAAGATCGAGGCTCCAATGACCTATTGACCCAATAACCCAATGATCATATCAACAACTCCATGATTGAACAGCCCGATGATATAGAACTAATGACTGAACCAATGCCAATAATCCAAATCACCCCATGCTCGATCCACGAGCCAAACCGACCGCATACCATCCACAAAGCGATGGACAGATGGAAGGTGTCAAAACAGGAAGTCGAACAGTACCTCCGACTCTTTGTTCACCATCGACAAGACAACTGGGCCGACTGGCTTGCATGCAGAATTCGCCTACAACAATCATATACACGCAGGCACGCAGCACACACCGTTCCTAGCTCACACGGGACGAAACCCACGAATGGGCATCGAACCAATACGGGAAGTCCCCATGCAGGGATCAACAACCGTTCGTTCGCGAAGAGCCAGCGACCTAGATCTACCGGAAATAGACCTCCCCTCTCGTAGACGCGGGCTTCCATTCCCTCTCTCCCCTCAGAGCGCAATACAGGAAGTGTCTTCTAGGACCTGCGATGCCGCTCGCAACGCCTACGCGCGCGCCGAGCGGGGTCGTATCAGTGCCAGAACCGCGTACGCCAAGGGAGAACATGCGGTCGAACACTGCGTGCACGTAAGCGTGAGCGACAGGGAGTGGGGTTAGAAGGGGATGAGATGGGAAGACGTACAGGTAGAGATGTACGTCTTGGCACATGTTTGGCAGCTCAGATGGGTGAGTGTGAGTGGTGGAGAGAGCTCAAGCTGCCTCAGGTAGCGGAAGACCATGCTTGGCTGGGGCGGGCCGAACCGGAGGAGGGAGAGGTAGCCTTGACGCCATTTTTCTTCCAAGTGACGGGCGCAGGTCGTCGGGTCTGGACAGGAGGAGCACTAGGACCGTAATCAGCGAGTGAGTGAGTGAGGTAGTGTAGGAGATGGGAGGCGCACGTACGCAGGTGTAGTCTTTCGCTATGGGCGTGACGCCCAGTTTGAGCAGGCGCTCAAGGAACCATGTTCTTCGTTTTTCGAGCTTGAGCAGCGTATCCCTCGACAGTGTCCTGAGCTCCGAATCTGGCCTGTACATTCTCAGCTCTCCATCATCTGTGAAACCCAGAGCCTGCCAGGTGGGTAGATGAGATAGACAACAGGGAAAACATACCATCCGCCCAGATTGTCCAACACAAACCTGCTCGCTTCCCTATACAGCTCTTCCTCCTCATACAGCTCCGCGATGCGCAATGCCTTGATCGGTTTGCCCGCTGCGTGGGAGAGGAGGAAGGAGAGACACGCGGACTGCAGGTTTGGGGAGATGAGTTTCTGCGAGAGGTGCATCCTTCGTTCTGTCAGCCCAGCTAGGGGGAGGCAGGAAACACGTACAGGTTCTCCACGTTATTCCAGGTGATGGTGCATTCCAGGCTGTCGCACTTCAGCCCCTATCTAAACCAGGGATGTCGGACTCACTGAGGGTACACAAACTTGAGGAAATCGTGGAACGCGCTCGCGCGCTCTTCCTTAAGGTCGATCACGGCCTCCGCGCAGCCGCTCATGCGGGTCACAGGTCTGGGTCTCCTCCCCGCCCTACCGTCCCAGCTTACTCTCACATTCCGTTTCCCCTTGCTAGCGCGTTTCTCCTCCATCGTCGAGCGTCTCGGGGGGCCAGAGGAAAGCGCGCGAAGGGAAGCAGCACGGTGAACACTCGGATCCGCCTCTGCCCCCGCCTCCGCCGGATCCTCATCTTCCCCTGAGCTGTTCCCAGGAGTGGCAGAATCAGGAAGGGGAGAAGCACACTCCTTACACTGGCTCGGGGAGAGGAAATGGAGTGTCGTCTGCGGTGGAGGGGAGGAGCGGGGGTCTGGCTGAGGATCGGTAGCGCCGTCTGATTCTTGCTCTGCTTCCAGATCGGCGGGAAACATCCCTGGCGAGGGTTCGGGAGAATCAGGCGTAGGGGAGACGGATTCCGGGATAGGACCGTGAGAGGGTGAGGGGAGTGGAGGGGGAGTGGAAGACCGAGTGACGGTTATTATCGAGCTGGAGAGGGAGGCTGGACGACCCGTTTCGGCCCAGTTGCCTGAGAGCGCTGCAGCGAAGAAGGGTGAGGCGAATATGAGGACGTCTTTGTGTGCCCTATTATGTGTTATTCCATATATTTCAGATGAAGAGAACGACACACCAGAAAGTCGTGTTCTCCACATTTATCCTCACGGTCCCCGGCCACTCGTTATCCCTCCGAAACGTAGGGTCGACCTCGATTTCCTCGCCCTCATCAAGTCCACTCTCGCTCCTCTGCACATGCTCATACATGTCCTCCGTCCCGCTTCCACTATCCTCTACGTTCCAGCTCGGGGAGGATATGCTCCTCCTAGAATGGTGCGGAGGGGGGAAGACGCCCATTGCCGGGGTGTGATTCTCTGTTGGACTGGAGAGGGATGGGCCTGTTGGTGAGCGTGCTGAGCGGGCGATGAGTATGTGGGAAGGGTTGGAGGATACGGATGCTGCCATGATTTGGGGAAGAGAATGAGAGGGAGAAAGAGAGGGTATATGGTCAAGCGAGGAGAACAAGTAGGCAGAGTGGAGAAGTAACAATCAAGGGTCCGTTCATTGTTCGGTAATGAGACAAAGAACATCTCCGGGTGGCGCATGTAGCACAGCCACACATTACTTGCTTCCCTATCCGTCTCCTCCTTGCTCACTCCATTGAAGCGCACCAAGCTCAGTGCGACGATGGCATCCAAGAAAGCCATCGAGCACTTTGCAGACCACACAAAGTATCATCTCGCACCCCACGGTTTCTGGAAACGTTTCCGTACGCCTTTCTCTCTCCCTTCCCTCCAAGGACTCGCACTGACCGTCTGGTGTAGGCGACGCAGTAGTGATCAACCCGAACGTCTCTTCCGGTCTCCCAGTAGCCAGTGTGAACAGGTACCCACAGCCCGGCAGCAGACCAGAGAAATACGCCACTCCAGCTTCGCAGGCCTCTGATCCTGCTCAGAACCCCGTGCGTCCACCCTTCCCTGACACTAGTACTTCTCCAGGCTGACGCTGACACTCCCGTCTATCCCTAGTATCATAAACGCGATTTCCGCCGCGCCTACCCACAGGTATCGACCGTCTCCCAACCGCTACTCACTTCCCTCCTCCTCCAATCCCCCACACTCGCTGCGCTCCATGCGCCCGAAGCGGCCGCCAGCTCTCTCTCGGCCGATCCGACGCTCTCCCAGCTTCCTGTCCCTCTGCCCGACAAGCTGCCCGACTTGACCGAGGCGCTCCAAGAGCTTAGCGAGAAGACGAAGCTGTTCGATGGTAAGAACCTCCCGCCTGTACCCCCCAGAGTTAGGAAATGGACGGGTATGGTACCCGGGGAAGAGGTGCCGAGGGATAAACATGCATATTTCCCAATGGAGCTGTTCAAATAGAGCAAGCTGAATAAAACCATCCTTTTCTTCTCTTTGTGCGTGGCTGGACGGGGACAACATGATGCACAGGCATGAGCAGTCCGACCTGGGTTATATTGACGCGAGTATAAGGTAAGGTAGTCTCTAACCTCCAACCAATAATAAAGACCGTGACAGAGAGAGAAGAACGCAGGGGGTAGTAAAGAAGGGTATGATTTCTCGGGATGATGATGCAGCCCAGGTATCTCGCGGAAACCGTACAGCGGTACAGGAAGGGGAAATAAGGGAAACGGGGAATAAAAGGGAGGAGATATACTTAAGGTAGAGGAAGTCGTTAGCTGAAAATCTCCGGGTCCGCGAACACGACCGGCGCGTTCTCTATTAGCCATCTTACGGTCTGGGTCTCGCCTGACATGTCGCTGAACTCTCTTGAGCGGTCTTGCGAACGCATCAGAGTTGCTGTGTGCATGTCAACTTGGGATGTGATCAGGATTGAACTGAAGACTCACGTCCAAACACCACACCAAGATTCTGCGAGTTCATCCGGTTGACCTCGGCCAGATTCGTAACTCTATGAAGATGAAGCATGAGGAACTTGACCGTCTCGTAGTGTTCCGCCGGAAGCTGCTTGATCAAAGCCGTCAACGCGCTGCCTCTTGCGTTCTGATCCGGATTCTCCCCTGCGCTGACGAACTTGTCGTGCAGGGCGTGGGTAAACAGCGGGTTCGGTAACGAGCGGAACCACGTCTTGAGCACCGAGGTGATGCTCGAGACATCGTTGTACGCCTCCGTGTCGTTCAGATCGAAGGCGTCATACGGCCCTTTCTCGAATAACTGGGTGATATTCTTGCACTGCGAGCTACCACCAGTCTTCCGGTAGATACCCTCGTAGTCCATCCCTCGCTCTTCGAGCGCCTCGATACATTTTTCGACGATCATGGGCACCATACGTGGAGTATCCCGTGAATCAGCACGGGCTTGCTCAATAAGATCCCGCCCGAACACCGTGCCTTCCATCGAGGTCTTTTCCATTGATGGGCGACGACAAGAAGTCTTGACCAGCATCTGACACCTAGCGTGTGTGACAATGCCGCAGTCTATACAGCGAAGGTGTAGACCCCACATCTTCTCGGCGCAATGCTCACAGCGTGTCAAGCGCAGTATGCTGTGCTGCTGGAAGTTATGCATAGCTGCCAGCGCATTCGGCCGTTCCTGACCATTTGGCAGTGGTGGGGCTGGGGTTGTTGAGGAAGACGCTGGAGCTTTCGCAGTTGACAAGACGTTGGCATTGCTTGAAGACTTGTTGTACCAGCGGAACCTTCTCGCTGTGGTCGCTGTCAATGGCTGCTCCTGAGTATGCAGTTCAGCCTTCTCGATCTTGACAAACCGTTGCGACTCGTCGCGATCCTCCTGACCCAGTAACGAGCCCGTCAAGTTAGTGGAGGTCGAAGCTGTTGTGACGCTAGCTAGACTTTCGTCCGCTCTTCGCATCCGAGAGCCAGGTGGACTGACTAATGCGGAAGGTGGGGTAGCACGAGAGGGTTTTCTCTGGAGTGGTGATGACGTGGGTGCGGGCCTAATGTCGGACTGCGCAAGCACCTGCTCAAGCAGCGCGCTGAGCTCATCATTTCTAGTCTGTAACATTGCAGTCTCGTCACGGTATTGCTGGCGCGCATCTCGCAGTTCCTGGACTTCACGAGCAAGCCGTTCGCGTTGCTGCTGCAAAGCCTCGAGATCTTTCGCATAATCAGCTTTGACCTCCTCGAGTCGTTGACTTAGGGAGTGGCTTGCGCGCAGCGACAGCGCATCCCCATGTAATTGGCTAGGAGGCTCCAGATTGGATGCAGTACTGCATACAGTCAGCTTTAGAAAAGGAGCAGCGATGAAGTAGACTGACGACTTCGAGGCAGCAAGTTCCTCAACCTCTGCGATAGTCACATCCCTCTCAACCTTGAGCTTGCTCACCCTCCGCTGCAGGTCGTCCATTTGTTCCTTCAATACCCGGCCATGTTCTGTAAGACGCATAGACTCCCTCTCCGGTGCCTCGAGCATGGTCAACCGTACGGCCTGGTCCGATACCTTCACCCTCAAACGAGTGACCTCGGCTTCGACCTCCCGCCGGTGAGTGAGTTCACGGTCATACTCCGCCCCAGCAACGTTCAGGCCCTTGACATAATGTTGACTCTTGCGCTACGTAAACGGTCAGGTTAGATCCCGCAGTGATCGTCACGCCACAAAAATCACTGACCTTGACCCCATCGTACTGCGACTTGAGGTCCGTGTACTTCTCAGTCATACTCTCCATTGCGGCAAGCATACCAAGCGCAGAACCCATGTCGAGCACAACATACCCCTGCCTCTCCCCGTCGCGGATCGCGTCTCTCATTTTCTGCAACACAGATTCTGCGCTCAGGACCGGCTCGGGCGATGCGCTGGCCGGCGTGGTACTCGAGTTGAGAGACCTTGCAGACAACGGCCCGAGCACGTCATCTTCTTCGCCAGCCGATGCATCCGAGTGTGAGAGAGAAATGCGCGGACTAGGACTGCGTACCGTGGGCGGCAAGCCGTCGAGGAACGAGCCCGTAACCGGGGGCGCTGAGGCAGTCCCACGGTCCACACTGGCGATGCTCGTCATCGAGGGAGAAGTAACGATATGTCTAAGGCCGGTGGGAGTAACGTCTTTACTGGCTCTCGCCGTTGACCCGCTGTCCCTGCTCACGCTAGGCCACATGTCTGCGAAGCTCCGCGGACCTGGAGGGGCACTCGAAGGCTCTACTTGAAGACCAGCCAACCTCGGGGAAACGACAACAGCAAGTTCTGCAAGGTTTCGCTCGGACTCGCTGTGTGCTACGCGACTGAGGATGTCACTGAAGTCTGTGCCATAGAGGGAGAACCGCATGGGCGGTAGAGCGGGCGCAGCGAGGGTTGACTGATCGTCTTCTCCGTCCGCCTCGACCTCAGGCGCAGGCAACGAATCTGCAATATCGAGGACGGCATCTGCTCTTCGCGCAGCGTCCTCACTACCATCCATGCTTGACCTGATCAGATCCGCTGGGTAATCCCCTTCCGGTGGTTCTCTCGACTCTGAATCAATGACGATCACGTCATCCCCGAACTCCATGCCCATCCCAAGGCCAACAACACCATTCGCATCCTGGCCCTGGCGACCTCTCCATTCCTTCGGAGGTGGCGTCGGAGGAACATCCGGGCTGCTTTTTCTGGGTTTTCCAGATGCACCTCGCACAGGACTGGGTTCACGACTGCGCCCACGCATCTGTGTCGGAGGGAAGGAGTGTACGTCATGTGGGAGTAGGCTTGGACTTGGGCTGCGCGCCCCTTCCGGAGAAGGATTTGCAGAATGATATGAATTAGGAGAGGGCGAGCTGCGATGGGAAGGTGGTTGGGGGGAAAGGGAACGATTTGACGGTGGCGGCGAGGGCCTATCGGCAACGAAGCTCCGGCGATGCAGGTCGCTAGGGTCGGACAGGAGGAAGCCGTTCATCATTGCTGAGCGTCGGTTAGGGTGGGCAGCGATGCCTCCGCTGTGGGAGGGAGGTTGCAGCGAGCGACCGCCTGGCGCGACATTGAAACCCAGTCCGGTCGGGGACGGGAGAGGTGAAGGCAGCTTTGGCGATGGGGCACGCAGATCGTCCCACGAGCTTGTCACGAGCGGTGGCACTGCGGGTGATGGGATCCGAGCAGGTGTGGGTGGAGGAGGATGGTTTGGCTTGCGTGGACGAAGGGGCTCCACCTCCATCTGCCCTGGCTGCACGCTAAAGCTCTGTCGCTTTGCGCTGGCAAACTCGGTCGCCGAGTCGATGAACGGCGTCGTGTTGGGAGTGTAGAAGTGGGTTGACGTGGGGGAAGAAGGCACGGGAGGGATAGTACTCCCGCTTGTATTCGGGTCGCGAACAGTGGGGGACGAAGTTGGGAAGCCGTTCATCCCTTCTCCTCCCGCAGACGTGGGAGTCGGTACCGTTGTTTCTCTGCCTTCCCTACCCTCCCGTCCAGAACTGGGTTTCCTGCTGAGATGCGGCACAGGTGACTGTATCGTCGCGTCAGCATGTCGCCGCAACCTGTTGTTTATCCAGTCACGCACCTCGCCTTCCGTTCGCTCCTTTTTCCGCTTGCTCTTCCTCCTCTCCATCGCTCTCCTACTTCTCGCCGCCTTCTCATTATGGCAAGGCATACAATATATCCCATGGTTCGTCTTTGCAAATACGAGGTCTTCAATCTTCTTCTGGCACTGCTGACACTTGAAGCAGGCCGAGTGGTACGTAAGGTCACCCGTCATGACTGCTTCGTCTTGAATGGGTAGACCACATGCAGAACATTGGTAAGTGCAATCCATGCAGACGGGCGAGCCGTCCGCGAGGATCAGGAGTGTCATCTCTGGCTTTGGATGTGTCAGGAGGCGCATTCATGCCGTAAATGCGTACGTACATGAACTTTCTTCTTGCATGTCGAGCAAACAAAGCTATCCCAGCATCAGTACACGCCTATTACCATTCCATAATGTTTACCAGTCCATATGCCAAAGCGAGTCCCTTTACGACGACATCAGTACTGGGCGCAAACTAGCGCATATATCTACCCACCTGAGGGCTATAACCAATCCATGCTGATCAGCATCGATCGCGTTCCCGCACCCGAAGCACGGCTGTCCCATTGGGTTGATGGCTGCATTTGGGTCGCCCAGGGTAGATGCCTGATGCACTATAGCCGCCATCTGTGTCGACTGCTTAATTGGGCTGTCGAACGCGCTGGGTCACCGCCTAGAGACGAGCGACGCGTCGGTCGCGCGGTAACGAGCTGGCCAGCAGGGGATGCTGCGTCGGGGGAATGTCCTTGCCGTCGTGGACGTTGCAAGCTGACTTAAGTCGAGCAATTGACTAGATGAACGTTGAGGATGAGTGAGCAATTATGTTGGGCACCCCTTGTTTGTGAGCGTGTGCTTATTGGCTTCCGTGTGACCGGGGACGGACCCGTGCAGTGTGGCTTCACAGGGAACGGACGGGTGTTTATTTCGAGGCCAAGTGTCCCTTTCTAATCCCCATTCCATTCCAATTTCAATTTCCATTTCTTCTTATTTCCCTTCTGGCCCAATCATAATGTTTCATACAATAAACTAACATAGCATTCCGATCTCCCTTGCTTCCAAAGATACATTCATCTGTCGAACCGCAATTCCGCTGATCCAGACATAGCTCCCATTCCGGGGTCACCCCCTCCGCCGACCCCATTCTATTATTTGACTTGAAATGTATTGAATGCACAGACACCAACATCCGCCAACCGCATGCGATCTATTCCGGCGCAGCATGGCGCTTGGGAACCGAGCAGGAGTACTGTAACCCCCCTTGGCCTCTTGCGGGGTCAGCAACAACAACATTAATGTAACAACCCGTAGGTTTCCCACTCAAATTTTCTCACCATAGGAGGGGTGATACAACGCCAAGTCGTCTACCGCTGTCTGACGCACTCCGCTGTGCTCGGCCACACGCGCCCAATCACTGATGCTCATGGGTTGCCCGCGCCCGACCGCGTGCGCGTTCTGGGCCACCAAATGGGAAAGTAAGTTAGATGGGATCTGGGCCTTGATGCCGCTACTTCGGACTGCGCAGCCTTCTTTGAGGAGATGGTCCGCTCATAACCCCAATTATAGAAACTCAGATTCTCGCTGGCAGATATGGCGGAATTTAGCGACGTTTATCCCACGACGACGGTAGCTCAACAACGGGCACAACACCGGATGCCGAAATAATCAGCCACTCATATTTTGAACAGCGACATATAACATGGGGTTACATAATCGCCTCGCCCACACACATGCACAAGAACAAAGAGAAAACAGAAGCCTAGTACCCAACCCGCTTAGCAGTGAGCTGCAGATGAGCAGAGTGCATATCGAACGGCGTCTTCGTAAGCTGTGACTCGGGCCAGAGATCCGGCGTAACAAACGCGTACGTCTTCGTGATCTGCCAGATAAATTAGCGATGGCTCTATCAGAAACCAACACAGCAACTTACAGCAGCGAACGTTGCTTTCAAGAAGTTACCCATCGTGGCGGTGGAACCCTTGGACTGCGTGTATACATCCTGGACACCAGCGAGCTGGAGCAGGCGCTTGCTTGCAGGCGCAGCGACGATACCGGTACCACGGGGTGCGGGAATAAGACGGCACATGACGGAGCCGACCTTGCCAGAAACCTTGCTAGGCACGGTATGGGGTTCACCGAGATGGGCACCCCAGTACCCTCTCCGCACAGGGACGACAGAGAGCTTGGCAAGGATGATGGCTCCACGGATAGCGGTGGCGACTTCCTTTGCGCACTTGACACCGAGCCCGACGTGCCCATCGCTGTCGCCAATAGCGACGAACGCCTTGAAGCGGGTGCGCTGACCGGCACGCGTCTGCTTCTGCACGGGCATGATCTTCATCACTTCGTCCTTGAGCCGGGGGAGGAAGATGTCAACAATCTGGTACTCCTTGATCGGCAGAGAGTACAGGTAGATCTCCTCGATGCTCTTGATCTTCCCATCCTTCACAAGACGGCCCAGCTTGGTAACGGGCGCCCTAGCCAACAATCAGTATCTGCCGTATGACGCTGAAGAATGAGAATGAAAGAGAGGGAACGCACCACTCCTTCTCCTCGTCCTTGCGTCCACCACGCCCCCTGCCGCCCCGGCCACGGGGACCACCACGCCCACGCCCACCACGGCCAAATCCACCCCTGCCCCTGCCTTCGCCTCCAGCGCCAGTTCCAGTTCCACGATCAGCCATCTTTAGTTAGTCTATGAGCAAGGGGTCAGCTCAATCCTCCAACTCGGGAACCCATCCATCGGCGTCGCCTTCCCCCAACTCACGCTAAGCTCGCCGAGGGGCAGTAGACGGGGAAGGGAAGGGAAGGGACTCACAGGAAAGGAAAATGAAGAGGGATTACAGTGCGGAACGTCGAGTTTGGGAAGGGAGACGACGAGCTCACCAGAATTAGGTGGTCCGAAATGAGACGGAAGCTAATTTTCTAGAGGAAGAGGCGCGGGAAGCGTGTCTCCGAGAGGTCGGGCGGAGAAACTCGGCATACACCCAACTTGCTCCTGTGGGAAAACTGGTAAATATTACAAGTGCACAAGTAAGATACACTCCATGTCCCAAGCGATAGTCTACAACCCCACGCTCCTCCCTAAACCTCAAACCCTCTCTCAGCCATCTGCTCCTCAAAATACTTCTGCAGCTTGTTCGCATTCTTCACATACACGCTCTCCAGCTGGTTAAACGCACGGCAGTTGTCAAACATCAATATGACATCATCATAAAAGTCCTTAAACGCCGCATACTGGGCGTTGTCAAGCTTGTGCTCGATAGAGGACAGGTCAACAGGCTGCGGGATCGTGTCGTAGTACTCGGGCACTTCGTCTTTCGGCACAGGCTGGAGGAACGGCCAGCTGGCGTTGTGTGTCTGGAGATCTTGAAGCAGGTGTTTCATCTTCGTATGCTGGGGACCTTTCATGTGCCTATCAAGTGCGTCCTGCTCATATGTCCACCCGGTCTCGCCTGGGTACTGTCAGGCTCTCCCAACCCAGCAAAAACGAGCAAAAGCGGGGCTCACATAAACCAGGAACGTCCTTTGCGTCCAACCGCCAGACTTTCTCCTCCTCCTCCCCCTTAGCGAGCTTGACAACTTTCCCGGGGGGCTTGATACCCCTCGCTTCGCGGTCCTTGAACACCTGAAGGCCTTTGTATACCTTCCCGCCTGTGGAGTTGGCAGCGATTATAGCGCGGATATCGTCCCGTTGGCGGATGAGCGCGTCGTGTAACTCGAGATACTTGAATTTCGGGGGGAGGAACGTGCACTAGCTCCCACAAGCACCGACGCAACCGCATTAGCACGAACTCTCCCATGGGACTAAAGAATAGCGCACCTGCATGATCGTCGCCCCTTCGTAATCCTTGATATACCCCGCCCACCTCTCGCGTGGGAGAGTGATCTCCTTCGTGAACCCCTGCTTACGGAAATACCCCACAGCGTAATTATCCGCATACGTGAGGAAATGGTTGATCCCGGGCATCGCTTGGCGCAAGTAGTCTTTCAGGTGGTTCATCAGATGCACGCCGTACCCCTTCATGCGATGAGCACACAGGTACGATATTGAGGGAGAGAGCACACCTTGCTCTGTTCCGCACTGTCCACCGCGCAGAATACGATCTCTGCAAACCCCCTTTTCTCAAACGACCGAAACGTGATCCCTCCCACGACTCTCAAGCCTTTCTTGACAACCGCGAGCGCACAATGATTGGGGTCAAAGACGAGCTTGGCGATGTACTCTGGGGGCATGTTTGGCAGTTGTTTTTGGAAGAGATTTTTGAGCCCGGTCAGGAGGATCGACGTTTGTGGCTTGAGCAGCGTGGGGACGGGGAAGAAGCGGATGATGGACATCTGTTCTTCTAGTACTGCTGGGCGGGTTTTACGCTGCGGCTACGAGGGGGGTAGGTGTAGGTGCTCAGTAAGCACTTCAGTCATGACGAGAATGGGGAACGCGCACTTTAGCAGCCTTCTCTTCCTCCCTCTCCCCTCCCTGAGCACCAGCAAGCATACTCCCTCCTCCTCCAGGCAACCGTTTCCCCGCCCCTCCCACAGCCTTCTTATGCCCCACGACCGGTGTTCTCAGCACACTCGGGCTCCCCCCGGCCGGGGTACGGGGGAACGTCGTTTCCAGCGGGAGAGCAGCCGCGAGGGGTTCTTCACCCGACTCGTCCCCCTCTTCCACGTCCAGCGCTAGATCAAGGTCGTCCGCCTCAGCGCGCTCCTCTGCCTCCCGTTCCTTCTTCTTCCTTTCCCTGTCTCCGCCTGGTTCCGCCTTCCCCTCGAGAGGAAGGTCGATCGGCGGTGTTTGACGAGCTAGTGTTTTCCCCCCGAGTGTCGAGCGGCCCTGGGCATTGGTATGCATGGAGAGGGGCACGTCGGGCTCGTCTTCGGATAGGTCGCCAACGGTGTTTGTTGACTCGGAGGAGGAACCGTCTTCTTCGTCGTCAGGTTCAGGCTCGACAGGCTCGTCAGGCTCCTCGTCCCCTTCCTGTGGACCTTCCCCTTCCTCTCCCTCACCTTCCTCACCTTCGCCTTCAGCTTCAGCTTCTCCCTCCCCTTCACCTTCAGCTTCAGCTTCTCCCTCCCCTTCACCTTCCTCTTCATCCTCATCCTCTTCCTCTTCCTCATCTTCCCCCTCCCCCCCTCCCCTTCAGCATCCTCAACCCCCACCCCAGCCTCCGCAAGACTCTCCATCCCCGGCATACCCAACGTGGACATATCCAGTCCCAATCCCAACTCCGTAAGTTCCCTAAGCTGCTGATCGAGTGTCATCCCCCCCTCTGCGTCCCCTACCTCTCCCACTCCCACTCCTTCCCCCTCCCCTTCTCCCTCTCCTTCCCCGGTAGCTCCAGGTACGGGAACAGAAGGCGCATCAACAGGACTCTCAGTCAACGGGCTGCTCTTCGGACTCAGACGCTGACGTTTCGCAGGACTGGGGTTTTCTGCCTCTCCTCCTTCTGTGTGAGGGGGAGGAGAAGCAGAAGGAGAAGAGAGAGGGGAGGAAGGTGCTCGTTTCCTCTTTGGTGGCATGGGCGTTGAACAGTACTAGTGCTAGTGCTGGTGCTGGGTGTATGCTCCTGATGCGTCTTCGCCACAATGAACCCTAGCTGTTGCTGACATAATGGCTTATTTTGGCATGTGATCCCGTGTGGCTGTGTTTCGCACGAGCCGGGTGAATCGACCGAGCGGCAAATGGGTGAGCGGGCAAAAGAGGGGAAAGGGAGCAAGGGCAACGTTAGTCGCACGCTTGGTTGTCACTGCTCATCCTACATTAACCCCTTCAAGTATTCAACGCCAGGACTAGTCAAGGAGATATCACAGCTAGAAGAGAGTGAATCTGATTGGACAGAACTCGTACAACTGGACAGGAAAAGGAAGAACGCGATTGGTGGGAGGGGGATCACACGCACGCACACACGCAAGCAAGTGAACAAGCAAACATCGTCGCCGCATACATCACACTCACCCCTGTCATCCTTTCTCACTTCACTCTCATCCATTTCACACCTCTTACTCAAACCACCACCATCTCCTCCTCCTCACACTCCTCCCCACCATGCCCCCCCGTCGATCAGCCCGCCGTCCCCCAACATCCACCGCACCCTACCCCCCATCCCTAGCCTCCTCCGACACACCCGACGCACGCCCCACATCACGCAGCAAAACCAGCCACAGTCGCAGTCCCGACCGCTCCCACTCCTACTCCCACTCGCACGAGCCAGAACTCTCCCCCACCACGAGGAAAAAGAAACGCTCGCCCTCTGCTGCCTCGAAGGAGGAGGCGGAGCTCAAGCTCGAAGCTGAAAATGACAACGAGAACGATAACGAGGAAAAGGACCTGCCTGAGGTCGACCCTGGTGCTGAGGTAGAAGAGGAAGAAGGGGAAGACGAAGATCTCGGAGAAACCCGTTGCTGGTGCGGGAACACCGGTACGCCCCCTCTCCCTTACATACGCGTACCCGCACACTGACCCCGACTCTGTAATATCGCACATACAGACGACGACGCGTTCCAGATCCAATGCGAGATATGCAAGATGTGGCAGCATGGCCCCTGTATGGGCTTTACAGACCAGAGCGAGGTCGAAGGGGAGAACTTCCACCATTGGTGCGAGCTGTGCAGGCCCGAACTATGGGGCACTGATTTCCGGTACGTCCGCCCATCACACGCACACGCTGCATGTTCACTGACGGACTGTGGCGAGCAGCCGACTGACCCGTTCGGCGAAACATAAACGCGCGCCCTCGTCCGGTGTCGCACTTGTACACGCGACATCTCCCGCCCTCGCGAGAGAGCCAGAGCCACACAGCCCGCTCATGGCCCGCGAGCCAAAGCGGCGCGCGACGATGAACAGCAGCGCAGCGGCATTTGATGCTGAAGAGCGTGGGCTGCTCGGTCCTCTGCCTCCGAGCGTGGAGGAGGAAGGCGATAGGCGAGGGGGGAAGAAACGCCGTCGTGCAGATGATCAGGATGTCGCTTCCGCGTACGCGCTCACCCTTCCACACACACCACACCATCAACTAACACCGTTTTACGCAGGACGATGCCTACCCCACCCCCTGCACCTCAGTCCCGCTCCCGCCCCTCCCGCTCAACAGCAAACACCACCCCATCTAAACGTCCCCGCGCAGCGCATCACAAAGCCAAGGACCCTCCTTCCCCCGGGGCAGTCTTCCCGGTAGGGTCGAACATCCCAGACCATCTAAGTCATATGAGCTTCATGTTTACCAACCCTCCTGGCAGCCGGCCTGCTTCCGCCCAAGGGGGGAGCCGGAGCGCCAACAGCGCGTTCAACACCGCCAACGCCAACACCAACTCCAACACTAACTCCAACACCAGCAACGCCCTAGGCCTAGGCCTAGGACTGATGGGCACAGGAAGACCAGGCACAGTACCGATCAACGCCTTCTCCCTCCCAGCGCTTGTCCAGCATTTCCCAGGCGTGAGAGCACATGTGGACATCTCACCTGTGGTGACACCTGGGGAGTCGCCCGATTCTCCAGGTGTGGGTGGGACTCCTGTTGCTGTTACCCCTGGTGCTGGCGTTGCTGCTTCTACCAGCGCTGGCGCTGGCGTCGGGATCGGCGTCGGGGTGGCGTCATCCCCCAGTACGCAACCTCCCCCCGCACCAGCCGCCCCAACCGCCCCACCACCCTCCTCCACCACCACTACCACCCTCCCCGCCCCCGCCCCCGTTCCAGCCCACGAACTCGCCACCTCCCTCTCACTAAAATGTAAGATCAAATGGCCCTCCAAAAGGATCACGAGCCAGGAGATGAAAAAAAGGGTAGGGGCGATGTTGATGTGGGGTATGAGGGTGGGGAGCGAGTTGGAGAGGAGGGAGGAGAGGGGTCGGGAGCTTGGTCTATGGGGGTTGGGAGGGTTGGAGGGGGTGGGGGCGGGAGGGGGCGGGGGGGGCGGGGGGGTGGGCATCCCTATCCTGGAGGACCAGAGCTTGCCGAGGAAGGGGATCGGACGCCAACCAAGAGAGGGGGAGATCGTGGACGGGAATAGGATAGGGCCGAACGTGGTGGACGAAACCCTCAATAGGTCCATGAGGACGCTTTTGCCCGATGCGTTAGATGCGTTAGACGCTCAGGCGCAGGGGCGAGCCCAACCTGTTACTCTCACGGGTCGTTCTATCGTCGCCGTCGCCGTAACCACCGCAGCCGCTAGCCCTCCCCTTCCCCCCACCCGCCCCGCCCCCGCCCCAGCCCCAGCTGCAGACCAAGCATCAGCAACACCCTCAGCATCAGCACCACCCTCAGCATCAACCTCAGCATCAGACCTCTCCCTCCTCTCCCAAGCTGTAAACCTCAGCTCCTCTTCCCAGGCGCAGGACCTCCTGCGCCAGCTGAACCAGAGGCTTGTACAGGTTAACGAGCTTTGGAATATGAGAGTGGAGCTGGAGGGGAGGAGATGAGCGTGCAGCGCGGGCCTGCTGGGCTCGGGAGTTGGAGTCGGAGTTGGAGTTGGAGTTGGCTGGCCTCTCTATGGTTGATGTATCGGTCCCTTTTTCTCACTCTGTCTCTGTGTGTCAATTTCCTATTGGGAACCGTGCTATCCCGGGCTCCCCTCACGTCTCTCCATCCCTTCTCCATCCCTCAGTGTACGCGTTCTAGCATTCTTGTTCCTCCCTGTCTTCTCCCCAGTAATGCCTCGGGGGAGTGACCGGATACGGATACGTTGTATGATCTGCCTTGGCCCTTGGGCGGTGTAATCTATTGATCTTTCTTGCTCCAATTGCAAAGGACAACACGTGACGGGTGGATTGAGAGTGTTCCTATTCGTACATCCAGCTTTGTTCCAGTAGCCCAATCCCCGATTCCCAATTCCCAATTCCCAGTTCCCGAGTCCAATTCCCATCAACCCTCGCCTAAGGCCACCATAAAGCCAACCATTCCCTCGTGACACTCACACACTCTTCCTCCCTCTCGTTCACCAAAAAGTGGCCCGTGCCCTCATCGCCCACACTCACATGGCGCACCTTGCTCTCTTCCCCCAGGGCGCTCCAGATGCCCGCGACGTCCATCGACCGATGTAAGTGCAGCGAGGAGAGCGAGAGGATCGGAATGTGGAATGGTGCGGGGGGCTTTTCCGCTCCAGGGGGGAGGAGGGCGAGCGCTTGCGTGTATTCCAGCAAAGGCAGGTCGTTTTCCAGATCATGTGTCGCTCCGGCCCGATACTGCTAAAGTAAGCCTTAGCCAGCTTCTGGGAAAAGAAAACGTACATCTTCACATGCCCCGCGGATGGCGCGCATCCCCCCTGGACCGCAGTACGGCTGCACGCTATCGCTCACCCATTTCTGGTGCACGCCCCCGCCCTCTTTTTCCCGCTCCGTCCTCCCCATCCAGCTCTTGATCGTCGCGTGCATGTAGGCTGTCGGGCGGCCTTCGATCAGCATCTCCGGGATCGGATGCGGCGCGGAGAGGAAGATCCAGTGATAGCTTCTCCTCGTCGCTGCGTGGAGGTTATTCTCTAGGGACATGCTCTCCCACACATGGGCGGTAGGAACAATATCGAGTACTCCGAGTCCGCACACAAGTTGCGGGAAATCGAGGGCCATACGGTATGCCAGCCGCGCACCCCGGTCATGCCCGTAGACGATGACTTTGGTGCCTTCTGCACAGGGCGGGTGTAGCTCGTAGATCAGGTGCGCGAGGTCCTGCGCCATCTCCCGCTTTGAATGGGAGAGGCTTGACCCGTCCGCCGAGGGCTCTTTCGTGCTGTGGCCATACCCAGGGAGATCGGGGATCAAGATGTCCCAATCGCGAAAGTGCTTTGCGAAGGAGTACCACATCTTGTGATTCTGGGGATAACCATGGAGGAGCACCAAGAGCGGACGTTGAGACTTTCCCTGCGCTGCCCTCGACCCGTTGAACGAGTCCTCCGAAGTCATGTAGAGGGCAAAGAGCCATGCGCCGCTAGGTACCTGGGTGGTGGTGGCTTGCGCGCCCAATGGGTTCTGGAGGGGTGCCTCTGGTGAGCGTACACGGGTGAGCGGTGCGCCTGAGGTGTACGCAGGCAGCTTGTTAGGCGTCAGACTAGTCATCTCTTTTTCCCCTCTACAATTGTTGCCCTTATTTGACTTGTGTGGGTTGTGGATGTCCGTGGGAGAGGTGTTAATTAAACACATCGGAGCCGCCCGTCACGGGTCGACGTTGACCCAAACAACACGCGCCGCACATTACACCGGCATTACCTCGGCTCCGACCGGGTCCCTTACATTGTTAAGATGACGTGAGATCGGCATCTCGGCTTGCTGATGATCTTGGCAGTTGATGATGTTGTCCGCTGCTTATCTTCGACTTTTCTCCTAAGCTTGCTAATAGAGCCTGGATATCTGCTGCCTCATCTGGTCATGACTCTTTCTGCTGTGGGACTGGAGACAATGGTGTCTGCGTGACTCGAGGAGCTTATGAACTGTCATAAGCATCAGCTCGGCATCCGCTGTGGGTGCGGTCCGAACTTCTATCTGCCCACTAGTACTTATCTCTCGCACTCTCCCATCCTGTCAATTCCCTGCTCCTTCCCTCCATCCACCACCAACAAGCAAGACAAGCCCCAACTCTACTTCTCGCCCAACCCAACACCGTCAATTCAGTTCCTACACAATCCCTAGACTTAACATGGCTCGGCCTCCATCTGCATCTGCTTATCTAGGTCCAATCCCCTCTGACTGGCCTCCACTGTTCCCACCTGGGGGGTGTTATGATCCAGCCTGAAGATCTTGGCATGCAAGGTTATTCGTTAATGATGTGCACGGCATGAAGGCAAGGCGCTTATTGGTCTGTTGGACGAAGGACGGGGATGAGAAGGCGCAGACGTGCCCTAAATGTTCAGGAAGGAAGTCTAATTCTGAGATGGGATTCGAACCCCTCAGAGGGTATATAAATCCCCTTCCTACACACAAGGCGGCAGGCGCTCGAGCAACTCGCAGCCCCTACCCTCCCACAATCACAAAACCATGCGTATCCTTCCCATTCTCTCTCTGTTGCTCGGGGCGACAGCCACCCTCGCCGCCCAGCCAAAGCGGCATATTCCGCGCCACTGCGTCCTCCCGGACCTGTACGACGCGAGCGTGAAAGAGCTCTCGAACGGGATGGAGGCTGGCTGCTTTACCGCTGTGGACCTTGTCAAGGCCTACTTGGCCAGGATTGGGGAGGTCAACGAGGAGCTTCATGCGGTTATAGAGACTAACCCTGATGCGTTGGAGATCGCTGCGTACGTCTGCATCATACACTATTTGACTACAATTGAGCGGTAGAACAGGCAACTGGACAAAGACCGCGCAGCGGGGATTATCTGGGGTCCGCTGCACGGGATCCCCGTGCTCGTAAAGGACAACATCGGCACAGCAGACAAGATGAACACCACGGCAGGGTCGTACGCTCTCCTGGGGAGTATCGTGCCGCGCGACGCGCACGTCGTCAAGAAGCTCCGCGCGGCGGGAGCGATCATCCTAGGCAAGGCGAACCTAAGTGAGTGGGCATATTATCGCGGAAGTGGGATCAGCAACGGGTGGTCGTACGTGTTTCCTTTACAAAGTGATGACGATGCTGAGGGAGTCCAGTGCCCGCGGTGGGCAGACCTCAAACCCCTACTACCCGAAGGGCGACACCTGGGGCTCCTCATCCGGCTCTGCAGTAGCCGCCGCGGTCGGCCTTGCTGCCGTCACCCTCGGCTCGGATACGGGGGGATCCGTAATCTGCCCTTCAGACAGGCAGAACGTCTTCGGCATCCGACCCACGCTCGGCTGGGTCTCCCGTGCTGGAGTAGTGCCATTGTCAGAACATCAGGATACCGTCGGGCCCATCACGCGCTGGGCTGCCGACTCCGCCCTCGTACTCGAGATCATCTCCGGCCCTGACTATAGAGATAACTACACCCTCGCTCAGCCGGACGTCGTACCCCGGTACACGTACTACCTAGACGAGCACGCGCTGGAAGGGAAACGCATCTGTGTCCCGCGGCAGGTGTTTAACCAGGACAACGTAACGCACAACGATCCCAGCATCGGAGTCGCGTTCAACAAGTCCCTCTTGGAGATCGCGGGTTTGGGAGCGACGATCGTCGACCCTGCTGATATGCCTTCTGTCCTCTCCGGCCTTTACCCGGCGAACGTCTCCACCGGCCTGGTGTTTGCTACGGACTTTAAGGTGGATATCAAGAACTACCTCTCGGAGCTCCTGGATATCCCTACGGGGGTACACGACCTTTCCGACCTGATAGAGTTCAACATCGCGCATGCAGACCTGGAGCTCCCCCAGCTACAAAACAACCAAGCGAGCTGGCTGACCGCAAACGCCACCAATGGGCAGGATAACAGTACCTACCTAGCTGACGTCTGGCTTGACTACTATATTGGGCGCACGGCGGGTATCCACGCTACGCTAGACAAATACGGGTGCGACGCGATCGTCCTCCCCTCCGAAGGGCGTACGACGACGATAGCGACGATCGCCGGATGCCCGATCATCAACGTCCCGCTGTCCTATTACCCAGATACAGTGAACGCGACGGCGATTCATAATGGCACGCAGTTTTTCCCTGCGCCGGGCATTCCTTTTGGACTGAGCTTTTTGGGGAGACAGTGGGAGGACGCGGGCTTGTTGGGCTTGGCTTACGCTTATGAGCAGGGGACGAAGCATCGACTGGAGAATAAGGCGTATAAGAAGGCGACGCCGAAGACTCAGTTGGCGGATGTTATGTAATGCGAGTATCATTGTTATGCGATTGTTGTAGTTAAGAGTACGTAGCATCTTTTGATACATTGATGGGATGAGCGCCTAAATGGGGATTGATGGACATGATATGATGACACGATGACACGATAATGATGATGAGTAATGAATAGATGATATAATGAGTGTACATTCGACGTAGCGGAATTCTGACTTTTTCCGTCCGGAAAGTGCCGATAACTTTTTGAGTGCGACGATTTCTATATTTGGCTGTGCACTTTCCTCTTCCTTTCGTATTCCTTACGTCAGCACGGGATCAATCGCCGCAATTTGTTCTTTCCAACGTACACTCTCTCATCTCTCCTCTCTCTCTCTCTTACCATCACCATCAAGCACAACAGCAGCAACAACAGCAGCTGGATGGTTGTCCCCTCACAGTCGACGTTCATCTCTCCCACAACTGCATCACTGGCACAACACGCACATGGCACAGTGCGCATCGTATTGGCTTGTCATTGCGTAGACGACAAGGACTTGTATCTCCAGCCGTAGAGGTGCAATACTGATCACAAGAAGAAGGAGAAGGAGAAGACGTAATAGAACGATAACTAGGACTAAAGCAGCAATCATGTCCCAACTACAACAACATACCCTCCATCCCAGCAGTACCCCTCCCAACCTCGCCCCAGCCTCACCCACCTCCTCCACCTCCCGTCCTCCATCTTTCGCCTACTTCGAGCTGCCCGACCCATCCCACCCAACCGACAACCCGCAGGAGCAGCAGGAAGACATCTACCGTAACCCCAGTCCACCTGGTACACCCTGGATAGGTGCAGGGCACCCGGAACCTAGGTCCCCAGTGTATTACGAGCTGGACGATCCGCGTACTCCCCGGCTTCAGTATGAGGACTCTCGTTCTCCAAGGCTGCATTTCGAGCCTGAGAGGGAAGACGACCACGTAGAGCGGAGGGACATGCTCCAGCATCCGCATCAGCATCAGACCCCTCACATCCCCGAGCATACACCTCGTATGCCCTTCCCCCTCCCCTCCCCCCTGACGCTCAAAGCCGACCGTCCCCCCGCTCCGCCAACGATCCACATCACCCCCGCTGCCTACCCCCCTTACTCCCGGGGCGTGAGCATCAAGCGCAGGAATACGATTGCCAGCACGGTGAGCGCCACGTCGGGGACGTCGACGAGCAGCAGCAGTACTGGCTGGGGCCCGATCCAAGGGTTGGCGAACCTCGTCGAGCGCGCGATTGCTAGATGGGCAAGGCACGCGCATTCTACTTCGTCGGAAGCGAGCTCTTCCCGCAGCAGCCTGATCTCCTACCCTACGTATAGGGCGCCCCCGAGGACGGAGAGGCTGTTCCAGCTGCTGTTACCGGAGGATAGCGAAAATGTGCTTTCGTCAAAGGAGGAGAGGTTCGTCAGGAGTGGGGATCTGCAGGTCGTGCTGGGGCGGTTGGAGCCTGAGCTGATGAGGAGGGGGAGACATAGGAAGCATCATAGGCGTGCACCTGGGGAAGGGGGGCAGGGGGAGGAGAAGAGGAAGAGGAGGAGGAGGGAGAAGAGCCGGTTGAGGGAGGAGGATGCGCTGGGGACTCCGGAGCCTGGAGTGGGGTTCATACTTGGTTACCCTGCTCCAGGAGGGAAGGGAAAGTCTCCTGTGGCGGGGACGCTTACCCCCGGCTCGGGGAATAGCACTCCTACCCCCATCCCTACGCCTTCGCCTAACACGCTGTCCTTCGCCTATGCGACGCAACCCATGACGCCCGCTGCGTTGCTCCGGTCTGAGCTGGGCTCGCCACTCGGCTCGGGGGTGAACCTCAGCTTGCTTAATACGCTGCATCAGAACCTCGCCTTTTCGCGTAACGGGGAGGATAGCGTCCGGTCAACACCGCTCGGTTCCCCTCTAGGGCAGAGCGGGTTCCATCCCCATCCCCAGGCTCACCATCCACAGCCAGGGCACGGACACCAACCACTCGCTCTCCCCTCTGCACCCTCTGGGCACTCCCGTGCCCCGCAGATCGAAGAACGCTCCGCCTGGTGGCTGGACGTCGCCTCCCCCACGCCATCCGACATGCGCGCGCTAGGGAAAGTGCTGCACCTCCACCCTCTCACGCTCGAAGACATCCTCTTTCAAGACCCTCGTGAAAAGCTGGACCTCTACCCCCGGCTCGGATACTACTTTGTCACTTTCTCCGCTCTCCCCTCGAGGGAGGAAGAACCGGACATGCCTTACTCCAAAACAGTCGATCCGGACACGTTTTCAATCGCGAGCAACGCGAGTGACCTCACTGCCGAAGGCCGCTGGGAAGGGGTTGATCTAGGAGATCTAGGGCCGAGCAAGATCGAGGGCGTGCAGGTTTATATGGTCGTCTTCGCAGATGGGATCGTGACGTTTCATTTTCATGATTTGGAAAAACATCTACGGGCCGTGAGGGAACGAGCGCTCAGGCTGGAAAAGATGTTCCCTATCCTTGCTGGTGAGTCCCTCCCTCCCTCCATTGCTGGCTCTCGCTTGCTAGAGTCATGCGTGCTTGGATCGAAGGATGTACGGCTGATCGTGGGACAGACTGGATTGCACACGGACTGGTAGATTCGATCGTCGACGCCTACTTGCCTATCATAAAGCGCCTCGAGAGGGAGACAGACAGGCTCGCGTCGCTTATCCAGAGTTTCCAGTTCGCCAAGTCAACCTTGAGAGCGGGAGCGGGTGGGGCGAAACGACTGCAGGGGACGAGCGCGGCTGCTGCGGCGGCGTATGTGAAGCACGGGTTTGAGAGGGGGTTTGAGGGGACTGGGGAGGAGGGCATACGTGGGCGTGGGGCAGGGGGCAGGGACGGGGAACCGAAGAGCGCGAGCTTGACGCCGTTTGAGAATAGTCCTGTGAAGACTGAGCCTGGCGCGCGGGCTGAGACTGGGAGTGGGAGCGGGAGCGGAGATTCCAGTCGTAAGAGACGGCCTGAACATGACCAGGACCAGGACCAGGACCAGGAAGATATCGAGATGGTCGACATGGTGGAGAAAACAAACCGGGCCATCGATCTCCAAGTCGCGTACCGCGTCGCCCAAGAACAAGAGATGGAGCGTCTGCACTCCCACGTTCTGTCCCGGCCTGTCAGGCATAACTTCCCCTCCCCCCGCGCGGCCTATGGCGTCCTGGTCAGCCTGCTCCCTCATCGGGCACTCAAGCGCGTGATGAGTATCGACCCTCCGCGGCCTAAGCCGCCTCATCCGCGCGTGGTCACGCTCTACCGGATCGCCAGTGCGCGGAGGATGGTGACGAGTATCTCGAGGCTGTTGGTGCATAAGCCTGTTGTGCTCAGCAGTTTGCGAAGACGGTTTGCAGGGGTGAAGGGGGTGAAGGGGGATGTGGGAGTTTACTTGGACGATGTGGAAGGTAGGTGCCGTACGTTTCTTTTGCTCATACCTGGACTAATAAGTGTAGACCACATAATTGGCATGCAGCAAGCGCTCGCATATTGTGACGGCACCCTCTCGCAGCTCCATCCCGGCTATCTCTCCCAGCTCAAAGTCGCCTTCGAGAACGCCAAGAACGGGATGGACAAACGTCTCCTCATCCTCTCCCTTATCAGTATCTCCATCCTCACGATCCAAGTCTGGATCGGCCTGTTCTCGATGAATGTTACAGTGCCTACTAACCTACCTGATGGGGGGTTCGAGATCTTTGGGTTTGTGTTCTTGGGAATGATCCTGCTGCTGACGTTTGTGATGGCCCTGGTGTGGTATTGGTGGGACGCGATTAGGAGGAAGTCGAAGGAGAGGAAATGGAAGAGATGAGTCGAGTCGAGTCGGTTCGGTTTAGAAATTGTGCATGGGATAATGGGCCCATTTCGGCCTCGTTCACTTGGTTCATGACTCTGTTAGTTTTGTATTTATTCATAGAGGTGCTTGCTCGAGTGCTTGGTTGCGATTGTGATAAACGACGTGGACCCCAATTGTATGACGTGCACACCTTGAAGTGATGCGACCATCTGCAACACTCTTCCTACTCGCCCTCGTAGCTTTCGTACACAGCACGATGTCCCAGTCCCAGTCCCAGCCTCACCCGCCAACGCTAGATCACAGCGCCAACGTCTACCTCGCCATCACGCACAACCCTTCGCACGCCCTCAGCGGGCCGCTGCCCGTGCACCTCGCTTCGCGGGAAGTGGCACTCGAACACGTAGGCCAGGTGGGGGCGCTTAAGGATGTGCAGCTGTATGAGATGCCTAGGGTGGAATGGGATGCTCTGGGAGAGGAAGGGCGGAAGGAGGTGATGGGGAAGATTAAGGGTATGGAGGGCGTTACTGCTGTGGAAGAGCAGGTGCTGCGCCAGAGGGTGAAGAGAGATGAGCTCTGAGTGCGCTTTGGCTACGTTCCTCTGGATACGTGGGATAGATGATGACAGGTAAGGCTGCTTGCAATGTGTCTATGGATTACTGGTTGATACATTATTACTAGATTACCGAATGTACAATATACACCTATTCATCCCCATCGCCTGTTTCTCTCATCTCATCCTGCTCAGCCCGAGCCGCCCTCTTCTCCGCCCTTCGTCCGCCTTTCCCTTCCCTCCATCTCCTCAGCACTTCATCTGGTGTACTCCCTCTCTCTCGCTTGAGAAGCGGCTTGTACTTGATGTTCACCTTGAACCTTCCCGCTCCCATATCCAGCAGCACGCAATCTCTCCTTCCAAACTCTCCCGCACTTGCAGACACGGGTGGGGGTCTGAGCTCAGCAGCACGCGTAAAGTAGGAAAGGATCGTGCTTTGCATAAGGGACTGAGTGTACGTCGTCTCCAACGACTGTACAAAGCCCTGTGAGTATCCGGGCTCGTCCGGTATCCAGTTAAGATCTTCGTCGCTGTACCGGCAGTCCCACAGAACGAGCGGGAGCGCATCTGCCATCTCGTAGTTCGGCTTGCCCTCGACGATTTCGGGTAACGGCTCGTCCTCTCGGAATGGCGGCAACGGGTTCGACTGGTCTGTGTTGAGCATGGAAGTGACGACGCTTGGGTGCTCTAGCCCTTGCCCGACTAAGAACAGGACAGCAGCAATGTGTCGTATCTGATGCCAGAGGAACCCGTGTCCTTGCACGTTGAGCACGTAGAGCGTAGGGTCTGTGAGCCGACTTCGAGATGGATCCCCAGACGGGAACCCACCTTCGTCCTTTGCTACAGGTTCGAGCGTCACGTCCTCGATCGTACGGACATAGCGCACGTCGCCCTTGCTCCCGTCGAGCCGGCAGAAGTTGCGCCAGTCATGAGTGCCCTTCATCCGCGCGGCAGCGTCTCGCATTCGCGAGAGGTCGAGGCCAGGGTGAAGACGAAAGAAGTACTTGTAATGTCGACCTATGCAGGAGAAGCGCGCTTCGAAGTCGGAATGAACTGGTGACCAGGCGAGGACACGGATGGAGGGAGGGAGGACACGATTGAGCACACGCGCATATGGGATCTCTCCTTCTGTTGGCAATAGGTGCTGCGTATCGTCGACGAGCACTTCAGGCGTATCTTGTTCAGCCAGTAGTTGGGATACCAATTCCATGCTTTCGGTCAATGGTTCGAAAGAGTCGTCCACCTCCTCATCGTCCAGAGCGAGGTTCACTTCCTCCGCCTCCTTCCTCTCCCCATCATTCGCTCCACCCGCAACCATACTCCGCACCCACAGGCTAACCACTTGGCCCGCTGCGCTGACCCCTCTGTCTGTTCGTCCACTCTTGCCATATCCCGCCCCTTCGAACCCTTCAACAGGGTCGATCAGTCGTGTAGCAATCAGCGCAGATTCAAGCACGCTCTCGACCGTCGGTATCGGAGTGTACCCCTTCTGCTTCTCCAGCCCGCAGTATTCCCATCCATGATAGCAAAACTTGAGGGCGATCTTCCGTTTCGGCCTCGAGGAGACCACGTAAGGTCTGGGAAGTTCTCGAGCTTTTGCCGTCAAGTCCTTCTCGTTCTCGGCCTTCTCTTTCTGGATATCGAGCTCGTTCAGCCGTGCAATAAGCTGCAAACGTGACCACGTGTCGTACTTCGCTAGGTTAGCCTGTGCCATTGTCGTCGTGGAGAAGAAGCGCCGTGCAAGGCTCAGAGGTGCATAGCGCATCCAGACTAGGTACACACGACCGAACTGACTTGGCTTGACTAGACCCTGGGCGAAATTTCGAGTCACAAAATAAATTCACATGCCGAAAAGGCACAAAACTGTCTATGATTGTCTAATGATGTTCATAAAAAAACATCCCATACATTTTGGGCCTTTCCTAGTTGTGAGGCACTTAGCCAACGTGGACGAAAGGCGCCCATCGAGAGATGGGAACGTTCTGACGTCTCAGGCTTGTAATTGCCCTTTTCAGCCCTTCCGCCGCATCCTCGTGACTTGGAATCTGTCTTTCACTTGTCATGTATGCATAGAGCATGCGTGCTACTTCCGAGGCGTCCTTCAATCAAGTCAGTGAGGCAGTTGGAGAGTATCGGTGTGTCACAACTGACCTTATCAACGACTTCGCCCATTGTGGCGATAAGCCCATCAATTCCGGCAAAATGCAGTCCTGCAGCAAGGGGCAGGCATTCTTCTGGAATTTCAGCCGAGCTGGGTGTAAATTGACAGGCGGAAAGAAAGGCAAACTTCGTCTTGTGAAGGCCAAGCTGGGCGATCCTGGAGAGGGTCAAGGGACCATCATGAAGGTATAAACCGCTGCTCATGGCATCTAGGGCGATGGCATCCCCACGGACAGCCAAATGGATCCATTCGTAGTTCGTCATCGCGCTGCAGACAGACTCGATGGTTGCCTCTGCACCATCCATGAATGTTGGCGGTGTCTGGAGATGAAGTGTCTGAAGAATCCGTTTCTCATCCTTGGCACGTGCGAGCAGAGGATAATTGGGGATAAGTGGCACCGAGACAGCCAGGAGTCTTTGCATGCCGTAGTCGTTATCGCAGCGCTGGGACCTAAGAAGGGTGGCGATAGAAGAAATATACGAGCAGCAGAAAAGGTCGGCAAATCCACGCTGCTGTGTACCGCGCGGCATGGCCGCATGCAAAGGAAGAAGTGAGACGACGCCAATTGGGCAGAGACGAATTCGAGAAGGTGGGCCGGAGGGAAATAATCTGGCCAGCGTGTTGACGAGGGGCTGTCCGAACACCTGCCACAATCGGTCTAGCACTTGGACCCACGCGTTCTCCCGCATCATGCGACCTGGTCGATCAGACTTGGCGCCAGCAGCTTTGACAAGCATTGAATGCATTTCTTTCGCAAGCTCCATAGTGAAACCAGAAAGTTGAAGATGCTGCACTCGGTGTGTATATGTGATAACAAGGGCATCGCAAGGCCGCTCACGGCTGATGTTAAGAACCACGATCGGAACTTCGAAAGCCGCTTGCCGGAGCAAGCCAAACCGTGCAGGAAGCAGGAAGCGTTCCATCCCTGTGACTTTCCGCACTTCCCTGACAAGAGAATCCCACCGATCGACAGAGCGGCGACGTCGGTCCAAAGCTGCCTTAACTGACAGAGACTGTTCCGTTTCACAGACCTCCATGGCTCTTCCGACTTCTTCCAGCTCCTTTCCTAGGGCAGGTGCGACCAATTGCAGCTCGTGAAACTCCCCACGCAAAGCGCGAAGCTGCGTCCAGAATATGGTTTGTGTGTCGTCAAGGAACTCGACTGCCTCTTCACACGCACCAAGCTCGATGGCTGCGCTGGCTGCCTGATTCCCCATCTTGAGTGTCGCAGCTTTTAATTCCTTAATCCTAGCCTCGTGGTCCATGCCAATCCATGGGAATCGTGGTAGAATTAAGAGAGCTTGTGCTGAGGCGTCGACAGCGTCTTTGTAATCCTTCTGTTCGCTAGCCAGTTGGACCCAAAGCCGCACTGCGTCAAACCGATCCCGAACGTAGCTCAAAAAATCATGAGCGGCAGTTCTCCATGCGTTCCAGGCGTTCTTCATATGATCGACTTGCTGGGGATTTCGCCGATAAAGCAGCATGGAGGTGTGACCATATTCAATCAGCACTCTCGCCCGTGTCGGCAATCCTAAGGGGGTACACTCCAGCGCTTCACGGAGCAGCTGCAAGGATTCGTCTAAGTCCCCTTGGCCTGTGGCCAGGAAAAGCTTGCGCTGCCCAATCGCAGGGGCAACCAGGGCCCTTGTTCGTCGGGTATGTCTACGAGTTGAATATTGAAGGCATTGCTCGAAGGCTTGGAACCCATTCGACCAGTCTGATACCATTTTCGTCTGTTCGGCACGAGCAAGATAGGCTTCTCCCAGCGCAAAAAATTCTTCGAAAAGTTCTGACTTTCCCCAGGTCCCATCTGCCCGGAGGTCGATCGATCGATGAAGGTCTGTTATTGCTCGATCAAGAAGTGCCGTACCACGGTTCTCGACGTCAGCCGCATGCTCTGCTATTCCAAGATTCCCAATGCATGAGGCCTGAGAAGCAGGGTAGCCAGCCGGCATCTTATTCACCGTTGTCTTCGCCAGGTCGAGAAATTCGGCAAGGTCCTCCCCACGGTGAAGGTAACGATAACGAATTCGAACGGAAGCGGACAGCAACATGAGACTTGCATGATATCGGACTCGTTGGAAAGTGGTCGATGATACGCATTGTCGGGCAAAATGAACCATGGAGTCGAGATCAACCGTGCGTCCGCAGACATCGAATCGATACAGATATGTCACTGCGGCGACATGCAAAGCAGACGCTCGCTCGATCCCATTTTCCGGTATGGCAGCCAGTACTTTTTCTAGGTTGGAGAAAACGCCTGTGAGCTCCCCTGCATTTCCGTGCCACATGTAACGGTGGAGTTCCATTAGGGCAAGCGGGACTTGTACCCTAGGCCAACAGGTCGCGAAATCGTGCACCAATGTAAGACCTTGTCTGCCATAGTCAATAGCGCGGCCTAAGTCGTCCTGGTTGTTGGTGTTGCCGACTTGAGTGGCGTATAGCACCGAGGTTGCAGTCAGCACCGCTGCCCGGACGAGAGGCCCAGGGGATGTGGAGGTCAAAGCCCCTTCGCAGAGGGCAATGGCAAGAGCTAGGTCGCTGTCCTCCCGAAAACGATAATACCGTTGTTGGAGGCAAAGTGCATAGGTCACCAGCGTGATGTCGGTCATTTGTCCACTTGTGGAGGAGAACAGCATCAAAGCGCGAATCAAGGCATCCCCATCGTTCAGTGCAAGCGAACGAACACGAAGACATTCGGCTAAGCAAGTGGCAACAATATCGTACATCTCGGTTCCCTGTACGACCAAGAGGGCGTGATCCAGCAGTGCCCCAGCACGATTGAGGTAGTTCACCTGCCCCGTCAGAGAGAACTGCGCAAACAGAGCATGCGCGAAGGTCACTGCCCTCTCGCCAAACGAAGAAGCATCGTAGACCACCAGCACAGAAAGTTCGCCCATACTTGCAGCCTCGGCTAGGGCAGTTTGGTCTCCAGTGCGCTCGTACATCTGGCGGAGGGCGGCGCATAACACCGATTGGAGGTCCGCAAGTTCGTCGGAGTTAAGGCCAAGGCCGACAGAGAGAGCTCGAAAGTCGCGGATAGCGTTGGTCAGCGCGACGAGGTCGCAAGTCGCGGCATATCGTTGGAGCTGAGAAAGAGCGAGATCAAGCACGACACCAGCCGACGCAGATGACGTAGAAGAGCTTGAGCTACTGGAGTTACTCGGCGATCTCATGTCTACCAAGTTGGTCAAACGTGAGCGCCAAAAGTCCGAAACTCAGAACACTGGTACTTACAATGGCCGCCTCGCACACCTATGGTGTGCAAAGTTCCTGGTATAGTGAGGGGTGCGTCCTGCAGTAGGATCTGCTCTTCTCCGCGGTGAATCATGTCGAAAACAATGGTATATATGCCTGAGTGATACTCGACATCATGCTGACGCTGAATTATAACGTAAATCTCACCTTGCAAATTGGGGTGATCGACTTCTGGGTATGTCGTTGAGGTGTTATACTAACAGCATCTAAGACACAGGCCATATATACTTTCATCGCGTTCTAGTATTTTCTCCGGTATCTGCTTGCCCCGTCGTCTTCTAACCGTCAATACAATCCGGTGCCACAAACACAGCGGCGAGTAATTTTTGCCAGAGAGCGGTCGAAGGTCAACGTCCCATGCTTGGGTCGGCGATACCATGTACTTTAGACCGGAGAAATATTCAGCTGCAGGTCGATCGTGTCTGCATGAGCTAGCCGGGATACGGGTTGGGTCCCGAGAACAGAACACCGCTAGAGAAGCATCTCGAGGGCGACATCATTGGGCTGTCCGTGGATCCAATAGAGTTGAGAGTCAGTCTGAGGCCTGGATTGTTCCGCGATACGCAACAAGACCGGTCACTAGCCGTCCGGTGCAAGAACGTGTCTTCTTCGCGGCGCTGTGTGCTTCGAGCGCTTTTACAGACCCAAAGGAGCGTGGAACAGAACGCTAGACCAACTCTGCAGCGGTGCATTGAGTGAAGCGAAGGAGGCGCCCGGCGGATAGATAGCAAACCATCAAGGAGTACATTGCCGTGATTGGTGTTATTTGACGGGATCCAGGATTAGTCAAGCCCGCGGAAGGGGTCGGCGGAACTGACGGTTTCTCAGCTGGGTCAGCCATAGATGCAATGCTGTGCAACATAGGGTCTAACAATACTCTGACATCTTCCTTCATAACGGCTACCTTCGAAGATGACGTAGTTGCGAAAACATCAACATAGCCGGTAGGTCTCGTTTGCCAGACCTAGAAAAAATCGAGTTGGGCTGCGTAGTATGTCACGTAAAGGATGAAAATACACGGCTTTGCTGCGCACAGATCGATGAACTTGGAACGCACACGTGCGGATTTTCGCACGAGGTTGCCTGAGATTGAGGGAATTTTGGGAAAATTGGTGAGGGGTGATAGGGTCAGTAGCCATTTCCATTGCCAAATGAAGAGAATCTCACGATGCTTTGTTGAACAGACACCGCCCCTGATCCCCACGGCGTGACTCGGATCACGATCAAGGTGCAAAGCGCGAGACAAAGTCCAATTCATCAGGCATGCTTGTGAAACTGTCATCCCCCAGACTCAGCTTTACAGCCTTTCGGCCGAGTCGTATTACCAAATGTGCCATATTAATCCATGTTTGCATCACATCGATCAATTCCACGAAAGAAAAGAAACACAGCGGGAGGTAGGCAGTACAGTCCAGGACCAAATCACGTTCGTTCCGTGAAATCTGGGTCATGCGGTGCGAATGCCGATGTCCCCGCTGGTTCTTTCAAGGGATTATCTTCGGTTCCGAAATCTGGTCCCTGACCATGAGAGATTTTCGTATCGAAATACAGTGGCGGCATAAAGTTACGCACACGGATACAGCATGGATAGGGGACTCGGTGTGCAATACTTTTTGCCGTCAGTGTACCCTTGGCACCTGGTCCCCTGCTCATCTCTCGATAGTCTTCTTGCTTGACAACATGACACGCTACACCAACTTGGGATACAAACGTACCCACGTGGAGGCGACTAAGATCGATGGCTCTTCTGCCACTTCGGTCGCTCAAGACGTTGGCTCCCATCCCACGGGCGCCAACGCCCAGCCTAAGAAGAAGACCCATCGGGCGGGCAAGAAATGGACTGAGCAGCGAAAGAGAAAGCGCGACGCAGATACCGAGAACACAGACGGAGACCACGACATTAAGAATGATCGAGGAGGTGGGGAAGAGGATGGGTATCTCGGAGGTGAGGAAGATGCGGACTCCGGACGATACAATAAGAAGCGGAGGATCGGTGCTGCGGATGCACTGGCGGACGGCGGCCGAAAACCCACGCTGGGGTCCAGCGCCGGTGCCATTCCTAGCATGTCTGGGGTAGATCCCCCCGCAAATGCTGTTTCTGAGTCGGGCACCTCGGGCCAGAAGACTAAAGCAAAACCAAAGAAGAAATTCGAGCGGAAGCAATACCCGAAAGGTAAGTATCCATTTCCTGTTTTAGACATTTCCCTGATCTCTATCTTTGCTAGATGCGTATTCCCGCGCTATAGCTTCGGAAGAGCGACGGATAGGGCGGATTGCCGACCGTCAAGCTCAAACCATTTGTTTTGCTTGTCGACAACCGGGCCATTCGGTCAGAGATTGTCCTGACATCTCTGGTAGCGCTGCACCATCGAACACGAACAAGGTTGCACTGAAGGGTGAAGCTCTCTGCTATCGATGCGGGAGCACGCAGCATACGCTAGGGAGATGTCGCAAGCCTGAACTCCCCAGTGGAGACCTTCCGTTTGCAAAGTGCTTCATATGCGGAGGGACGGGACACCTGGCAGGCCAATGTGGGAAGAACAAACACGGTGTCTATCCGAGGGGTGGAAATTGCAAGGTGTGCGGCGAAGTGACCCATTTGGCGAAAGATTGTCCCTTAAGATGGAAGGGTGAGTCCGCTCGTCTAGGAATTTGACCCCTGTCTAACGGTGCACTCAGATAATCAGGGTGACGCACTCGTGCTCGGAATGACCACTGATGGGAAAGGCGCCGATGAAGACGACTTCCATGAACTGAAGCGTCGCAAGACAGAAGTAGATAAAGAAGATCTTGCTAACAAGAAAGTTGATGAAGCACCTCTGCCGAAACCTAAAAAGGTGGTCAAGTTCTAGTAGGGTCTCAGTGATCCATGGTACAGGATGCTTGTTTTATGCATTATGATATCCCCATCGAGATACCTTAGGTATTGCACTTCTATAATGATACATTGTCGATCCACTACATGCCGCATCACATTCACGTTCATTCCCAAAGCACAAAGGCTCTCCACTTCACATCAAACCGCTCAATACATCCTCATAGAATCCTTCTGCTCTCCACGGGAAACATTCTGGAAGGGGCATCTGCTCATCCAATGGTTGCCGCCACAGTTCGGGCATGGGCTAGGAGGACCAACCAAGTGACGACCATGTTCGTCCTTAGGGATTTCCTGAGGAGAACTGAGGGGTACCCAGTCTCGGTCGACAGGAACCATACATCGATGGAGGTACTTGATAACCGTTGGCGTAAAGTGGACTTCGCTGGGGTTGTCCTCTGCTGGTAGTAGCAGGGGAGACGGCAGCGTCTCGAGACAATAAGCGAACCGGACATCATGCATCGTGATTCCGAAAGTCTTGAGAGGAGGTTCGTCGAGTGTATGCGCCTGACCGGTATATATGCGAACGTAAACCGACTTGGCAAAGACCGCGAGGACGGGGTGATGCTAAAGAGCGCGAGTCAGCGCATGCAATGCACACCATTGCGGGAGGAAACTCACGTTTTCCTGATTAGTGACCTCCATCACCTTCGCCGCAAAGTCGATCGCCTCCTGATATTTCGCGAAAGTAAAGCACCTCAGCAAAGCATGCGCATAGACACCCTTCTCGTGCTCCGGTTTCATCCCAGCCCAGCGACTCCTCTCCTGCGGTTCGAGCTTGTCCGCCTTCTTCCGAACGTAGGCGACGCGCCACCCACGCGCATATAGCGGTCGAACATACGTATCCAGCTCTGCCTGGGTGACGAGTGGCGCGCGCCCTGGACCAGGTTTGGGGGGGACATTGGGCAGAGGGAGGGAGGATAGGAAAGTACGCAATTGGGAGGGCATGACCAGTTCTGGACAGCCGGCGATCGATTGCTCCTCTCCTGGTCTGCTGGCCGTTCCCTGCCCAGATACGCCCAGCAGGTCATCCAGCGCATCCTCAGCATCATCATTCGCAGAGAAGCGTACTTCTTGGGGACATTTCAAACCCCCGCTCGAACCACGCTTTTCCAGCTCTGAAGTGGCCCAAGCGGCCGCTTCCGCACGGAAATAAGCATTGTACTCCATCTTGGCCATCTCCTCCGGCGAAGGGACGGGACTGCCGCGGACCTCGTTGATCTTCGCCATAAGGGCGCCAATGATGCTCTCTTGGCGTTGATCACCGATTCCTTTTTCAGCGACTTGGTCTCGAGCAGCTTCGAGCGCTTGGAGGAACTCAAACTCCGCGACTTGTCTCGCCCACGCTGCAGGAGGCCTTTCGTATGGCTCAGGCACGGACACCTGCGTAGGAGTAGTCAATGGGCGAGTCTGAGGTTGAGGTAGTGGAGGTGAGACATGTGGCTGGCTGTCGAAAGGTACGGCGTGTGAGGGAGAGAAGAAGCTTGCGGCGGACTTGAAGGGGTGGGCGAAGGCAGCTGCGATGGCCTGCAGCTGCCCGGGTAGCATGGGTCCTTGGAAATCAGGATGGAGATATGGTGGGAGATCTTGAAAATCCATCGATGGATCTGAGGTACTTGAACTCGGGTCGGCTTTTGCAGATGAGCGTTCGATAGGTTGCACGGCACCTGACGCTTGGTATGGCCCGTCCTCCGCAACAGGGAAGGCGTATCCGCGAGTGCTTGGAACCGGCGGAGGAACAGCAGGGAGGAGGATCTCATCCAAATGAGACGGGTAAGGCCGTTGATACGCATTAATATTCGAGTAATCGACATTCGCCATTCCGTACGGTTGCACGTTCTGGTCGCCAGGAACAGGCCGCAGGGATTGGAGCTGCTTCAGTGCTGCGAGCGTACGATTAATATCTTCCAAGACTCGGGAGATGCTCATGGTTGGCTCTTCTTCATTGGAGGGCATGGATGTCAAAGCACTCGGGTCGGGGATTTTCTTGATAACCGGTGATGCTATAGGGATAGAAGCACGGACATCAGGGGCTGGGATGGAGTACGGATACGAGGGAGGGTTGAATGAAGTTCGCGTCGATACGGTGAAGCTAGGGATGACAGTGGGTTCGGGGATCGATCCAATAGCAGAGGGGGTGAATGTACTTTTTTGGGGAGGTTTGGATGCGGTTGGGAGAGCTGAGGCAGCATCGGCAGGACTTGATTGGGATTGGGGCGGGGGGATGGATGAGGACGCCAAAGGTGATGGAGGTTCTGTTTCCAGGGTTGGGGGGCACGGAGAGCTCGCCATCGGTATTCGGGAAGGAAGAGAAGAAGCATTCCCATCTCCCAGCAGAGAATCAAGCGTTTTTCGAAGCTCTTGACGATTCCGCGTTACTGCCACGCCAGAGGCGACTCTGTCTTTCATCCTCTCAGCATACTTCGCCGCTCGCACCCTAGATCGCTCTTTCTTCTTATCCTTTCCCCGTATCTTCTCTTCTGCTAATCGGATGTCGGACAGGCCCTGCACGCGGAGCCATAAACGGGTGTCTTGCAGGAATGCATTTTTCATCTGCTTGCTAGGAGTGGTGGATGTAGCAAGGAGGGGCCGTTCCCAGCGGGAGATTGAGGGAGTATGAAGGGGGAGATATGCTGATGGTGAAGAGTATGCGGGTGGGTCGGAGGATGATGCAGAGCGTTCCTTCTCTGTTTCTCGTGGACGTGTGCGCTGATCGTCCGCTGAACTCGCCTTTCCTTGTTTTCGCTTCTTCGCGGGTCCGTCACGCCTAGCCTTCGGTAAGGCTCCCACTCCCTCCTCCTTCTCTTCTTTCCCCCATTGCCCCACCCCTGAAGCCTCCGACTCGGGGTGCACGAGTGTGCCGCTCGCGCTAGTCGAGGGATGGTGCGCGGGCGCAAGGGCAAGGGCATCGTTTATCTGTTCAGTCTTCCGCGGTCGCCGTCGTGTGGAAGTTGCTGAAACTCGGGGGATGTGCTGCCCAGCGCGTCGAGCGAGGGCGAGGGGAATGCTCATGCCCTGTCGAGGGCGTGTGCGTAGCCGGTGCAATTGTCCTCCCTGCACTAAGGGAGAAGCGATGAGACTGAGAATTGATCCCGGTTTAGACCCTGATTATTGAGAATAGTTCGGCATGTCGCCCTGACCAAAGTAAAGTGCGGAATACACGCCGGTACCGCACTTCCCCCTCGACCTTTTTACACGACCGCAATATACTTGATAATAGTCTATCGGCACCGAAAGTTAATATAAAGTCAAACGTTGGGGAATATCCTCGACGTTGCTCTTGAACATGTCCCTCATTGATGAACAGAACAAGATGTCCGAGTCCGACTTCTGGCAGGCGACAGTCACTGCACCGGTAAACATCGCAGTCATCAAGTGCGTATCTCTTTCTAGTTCTTGCACCCAAGCTAACCTAACCAGGTACTGGGGAAAGCGCTCTGTGCCCCTTAACCTGCCTACCAACTCGTCCCTCAGTGTGACCCTACACCAGGACCAGTTCTGCACCACTACCACGGCACACTGCTCGCCCGACTTCAAGAGCGACAGGCTCTGGCTCAATAGGAAGGAGGAGGAGATCAAGCCACAAGGACGGACGGATACCTGCATTACCGAGATGAAGAAGCTCAGGAGACAGTTCGAGGAGAAGTCAGGGGATAAGTACGAGGTGCGCTTTCCTCGTCCTCCTCCCAAGTATTGGCTGAAAGAAAGCAGGCATCAAAGTGGCATGTCCACATCGCATCGTACAACAACTTCCCTACCGCCGCGGGTCTCGCTTCCTCCGCAGCAGGATACGCCGCGCTCGTGCACTCCCTCGCAACCGTCTTCCGCCTTCCGTACACATCCACCGAGCTCTCCCTGATCGCCCGGCAAGGCTCTGGCTCGGCCTGCCGATCCCTGTTCGGGGGATTCGTTGCCTGGGACATGGGGGAGAACGAAGATGGAAGCGACAGCAAAGCGCGGCAAGTCGCGAGCGAAGACCACTGGGACGATATCAACGCCGTCATCTGTGTCGTGAGCGACGAGAAGAAGGGTGTATCCAGCACGACAGGCATGCAGCGCACGGCCGAGACGTCCCCGCTCTTCCGCGAGCGCGTGCGCATCGTCCCGGGCCGTATGGAGGAGATGGAGCGTGCCATCGCTGCGCAGGACTTTGACGCCTTTGCCCAGCTGACCATGAAGGATAGTAACGACTTCCACGCTGTGTGCCTCGACACTTTCCCCCCTACGTTCTACATGAACGACGTCTCCCGTGCGCTGGTCACTCTCGTACATGAGTTCAACCGGGTCAGCATCCTCCAGAAACGCGGGCACCGCGCGGCGTACACGTTCGACGCAGGCCCCAACGCGGTCATCTACTGCCTTAGGCGCAACGTCAAGGATATCGTTAACATGGTCATGCACTATTTCCCCCAGCAGGAAGCGTTCAAAGATACGTACAAGGTGTTCTACTCCAAGGACGTGCCGGGCCAGATGCCCCTGCCTAAGGAGTTCAATGAGGCCGTGGCGAAGAAGTGGGAAGTCGGAGCGGTGAAGAGCATCATCCATACCAAGGTTGGGCCGGGGCCAAGGGTGCTGGATATCGAGCAGAGCTTGCTCACTCCGCAGGGGATGCCGAAGTCGTTGGAGAAGAAGAATTAAGGGATAGAAAATGAAGTACCAGATGATCATAGATTGAATACCCAGTTAATCTCAAGACAAAGCATTATAGCACTTGGTGTGGTCAGATTGTGGCCCAAGAAACAGAGTTGCGCCAGGGCCAAGACCGAATACCACAGGAAAAGAATATGCACATGTACCGTTACTCACAAGACCGAGTGGGTGGGCGCCTCTCAAGGAGGGTGAGTGTGGCCGAGATATGCCTACATCCTCAACGAGACACAGGGCAAAGAACCAATCAATACCGTCTGGTCGGCCACGCTCAGGGACAGTAGAAACCTCCCACATTGAGGGTTTGGATACATATATTGCATCGAGGACATTTTCCATGGAGTGGACTGCGCGTAGTCGTTCTACTTACACGCCGTAGGTGCTGTGTGCAGGACCGACGCGCGGCGATTATTTACGCTCGCCATCTGGACAATTGCTTGAGTACTCGATGGCCATCGATGGAAACCCATTGTACTCACAAGACCTGGTGGCGTAGCGTCCATCAGCAACAATCAAGTTGGCTGGGATCTGGTCCTCCCCCTTGAAGAACCTCTCAAGGATATCCCTGGTGCCATCGGCGTAGCGTTTCTGGGCATCGAGGGTTGTGCCAGAATAGTGAGGAGTCATGCCGTTGCCGCCGCCGAGCGGGTTCTTCATATGGCGCCAGATATGGTCCTTAGGAGCAGGCTGGACGTCCCACACATCACCAGCATATCCGTTGATCTGACCCTCCTCGAGAGCCTTCGCGATCGACACACGATCGCAGATCGCACCACGAGCGGTGTTGACGATGAATGCACCCTTCTTAAAGTGCTTCAACAGTTCGGTGTTGATCAGACCCCGTGTGCCCTCGTGCAGAGGTGCATTAACCGTAACAACGTCGCACTCGCCCAGGAACTGGTGGAGGTCAGGGATATGGCGAGCACCCAGCTCGTTTGCGACGGCTGTTGTATGCGTCAGCAAACGATCGCCATGTGTTCCTCAATCCCGTGACTCACCTTCAGGAAGAGGGTTGTAGTCGTAGTATACGAGCTCCTTGGGATCAAAAGGCACCAAACGCTTCAGTACGCGTTGGCCGATACGGCCGGCACCAAGAGTACCGATAACTTTGCCTTCAAGGTCGAAAGCGTTGCGGGCGATCGCAGCAACATCCCATTGATCCTTCTCTATCTGCTCATGGGCCGGGACGAAGTTGCGCACCAGGTTAAGCATGCACATGATGACATGTTCAGCTACGGATGTAACGTTTGAACCGGTGACTTCAGCAACCATGATCTTCTTCTCGTTGGCAGCGTTCAGATCAACATGGTCAGAGCCAACACCAGATGTCAGAGCCAACTTGAGCTTGTGGGCTTTGTTACGAATGAGATCTCCGGTGAGGTAAGCAGGGTGGAAGGGGGTGCTGCATGTCCTGTAAACGAACGAAATCGAGACATCTTCACAGGTGCTCACGTGATTAGGATATCGGTCTGTATGGAGATGAGAAAAGGATGAATGCTCGGTCAACAGCGTTTACTCACATCAGGTAACTCTCTCTGGAAGACAGAGTTAGGTCCCTCCTTATCGTCAGTGACAATGAACTCGTGGCCAAGCGACTTGAGCCATGAAGCAATGCCAAGCTGGAATTCCATCAGCCCGAGGTGATGTATAATTAATGACCTAACGCACCCTGTTCTCGATAGTGCCGAGCAGACGGGGCTCAGCGACGGCAGATTTCCCACCCTATAGAACATATTATCAGTTCCGGTAATGGGTCAATAGACCAGTGGGCGTACCTTATAGAGAACGGCGAGGATCTTCATGATTGGAAGTGTAAGGCGTCCAGTGAGAGTCTGAGCGAGAGAAAAGGGAGAGGAGGGCGTTGTATATTCCACATCATGCGCTTCCAGTCGACTTTAAGTATCATTCTGCGTTCGAGAACCGATCATTCATGCACTATGGCGACCGCACATTCATATTTGGTCCAGACGAGGGACATCCGCGTCTAGGGTCCTCGGAGGGGATATCCCGTAGGGGATTCTGGCCAGGTACATCGCTTCTTTCCCATTTTAGAACTCGAGCCTCGAACTCCATCACAGTCGCTGGAAGCATACTTCGTTGGTTTGGTAGTGCCTGTCTTCCGGAGCAGGTCGGGTCCTCTGTCCATCACTCCGCGGGGTTGCCTATAAAGCCAGAAAGGTAAGACTAACTGAACACGCGACTTTAAGCGAAATTGAATACCAGTGCTTTACCAAATGACATCATGTAGTGCACGGCTACGACTGGACGCGGGAAATCCAGGAACTAAAGTATTCCAGTCGTTTAATCGTGACCCCACAAAGTTCGCACGGAGCCGCCAGACAAGCATCGAGGGGTCCGACGTGGCGGTGCGGAAATACCCCTCCGCCGCTTCTTGAAGACTCGGGTTATCTGTTCCTCAGGTCGGCTGAGTCCCTTGAATATCTGTCAATATCTTCCTTAATCATAGTATGAATTCTAACTCATACGATTCACTAGTAAGTCTTCCCGCCCGCCTTTCGTACGTTTGGGGAGACGAGAGCAAAATGCTCCTCCGTAAGAAGGTAGGTATGATGGCATTTGGCAAGGTAGGTGCTCTTTGTGGCGCCTTTCGACCAAGTGCAAATGACGATGATCTCTGAATTGACCGCCTCATAATGTATGCTGGATGTGTTCCGTGACCCTCTTTGCACTGTAGGCGTTATCTCGAATATCTTGAATGAAATTACAACAACATGACCATTAACGTACTGAGTTGGACGAATCAGTATTAGCTCTGCCTGCCACGTAAAAATATGCATACCATTGTATTCCCTCAAACGTGTGGCTCGAGTATATATTTAGGAAGAAAGACATGGCACGCTTATGATCCGCATAGCCCGATTCACTTCGGCGTATGTGAGTTTGAAGTTCATAGGAAACGGCTGATCAAGGGAAGATCCACTGAGGGCGCCTTTCATCTGATAGGCTTAGAAAGAAGACGCTTAACAGACATTCGGAAACTCACCTTTTGCAGGAGGAAGTTGGCGGCTGACTCGTTGAGCGATGCGAGGCTGACATCTTCGACGTCCGCTATCTTGAATGCCTTCAGCCTGTCCGCCATGGACAAGGTTCGTTCCGATGATAGAACGAATTGTACTGTGGCGGCAAGTCAGCCGAGAGCTGACTCGTACCGTGGCGACGTACAGGGACCGGGTTCCAAAGCTTGTAGGGCGGTATCTAATACTGCACAGAAGATACAGAATGATACTTCCAGGAGCTCTCTGTAAGGAAATACGGCGGGATCTTCTGGTGATAAATGAAGGGTGTCGACGAAGTAGTCCCAGACCTCCAGTCGCATTAGCTGTGTGGTCGACTTGCGGTTTAGTAGCCACATATTGTATTGTGCGAATGCTGCTGAAGATTATTCGTCTAGAGAAACACTGCGCCGAAGTTTGAGATTGACATACCTGCACCTATTACATGATACGGTCCCCTGTCGAGTATGATGTCGTGAACTGCCTCAGCATCGTACGGCAAAATTTTCTTGCGTGAAAAGGAACGGACGAGGAGACCAAACAGAAGGACCACAGAGGCTCGGCAATGCTCAATAGGGGTGGCAGCTCCTTCAAAGCTACAAGCCCATTCTGACAACCTAGGAACGAGTGTCGTGTGGGACATTAGTAATTCTGAAAGCATTAGCACATGGTCATGTCAGTCCCATACACACATACTAGATATAGTTTCGCTCTGAGCAACAATACATAGAAATTCCAGCAAGATATTGAATTTGGGCGGCGTCTGTTCTCCTTCCTCGGGTAGCTCACTGAAACATCTTGAATTAATCCGTCAGGGGGGATGACTCTTAAAAACGTTGACAGACGAACTCGGAAAGTAAATCGGCGCCTGGATCAGCATCAGTACCAGTAAAATAAAAGGAGGATTTTCGTGTTCTCACTATCGCTGATGAGTTTCATCATTGCACTTGTCTCTAATAAAGAAAGGGTCTGGGTGGCAAGTTCGGAACTCCACAGGCAGACAACAAGCTCTTTCACCTCATCCTGGCACTCCATAACCAAAAGCTTTGATGCACTGAGAAATACATCTTCTTTGATCGATTGATTATGCATTTGAGGATGGGTGTGAACGAGAGCGCTGAGAAGGGCCAGGAGGAGTGCTGTTGCAGACGGGGTAGCTCGTTTGAGGATTAACTACAATGTCTGTTGGCAAACATTCATGGGAGAGCGATAGTCACCTTACCCGAAAAACTGGAATAGCTGATTGTTCGTGCTGCATAAATGCGGTAGCCCAATCCATGGCGCAGTAATGCAAGTCATGGTTCTTATGAAGCCAGAGGGCGGTCTGGCATCCATTTAGTGTTCTCATCACCTTACGATTGTGGAAACATACAATGCCGCATAAGATCGTTTCGTTCTGTCCATCACATGTCCAAGCTTGCCATGACCATTGTACAAACGACCCGTGACACACGAGGACGCCGAGGGCGTCCACCTTCACCGAAGATTCGTGCTCCTGCGAAGATGACTGCTCTAACATGAACGACAACATGCAGAGCAGCTTGCAATGTGTGGATGGGCGGAAGGCAGTGGGATCTGAGACTTCCTAGGAGAGCGCCGTTGGTACTACTCAGGTAGCGCACGAGAGAAAACTCACGGCAAATAGCGCTAAAACATAGCTATATGCGAGGCAGTTGCGAGAGGTAAGTGACTCTTCGCTGCATGCACAGTTTACGTATTCTTCGACTGCGCCTTCTAGATCCTCGGCCGGCTTCCATCCAGACCAGAAAACATGACAACCCCAAAGAAGACTCAATGCCAAACGACGTGTAGCTGGACTTGCAGCACCGTCACGTACGCATCCCGGCAGCGCATGTATTTTCTCTGAAGACAATTTAGGAAAACATGATTGTAGGATGAATGCATTCATCACGCACCTGGAAGACATGTCGCAGCAAATAGTAGGTCTTGCTCTTGCATATGCTCCCACTCTGGCCACCCGGCGGTGGAAGAATAGCTTTGAACAGGAACAGAAGGAAGCAGCAGCATAAGAAGAGCGTCAGAGAATGTTACTATATGCCCTTCGTGATTTGGCGGCCGACACTGTGCTCGGAGTTTGAACAACATGTCCACAACTTCTGCATTCAATAACGTATGTCGAACTTCCCAGAAGGACAGGTTGTCTACTCCAGACTCGAGAACATGAGCAAGAACGGCAGCAGAGTTAAATGTATGCGCCTGTTTCAGCGTGCACCGGTGCATATAGTCAGCTTTCGACGGTCATGGGCGAGTGGTATGCTTACTTCTGTATCGTCGTCAACGATCCCTTCTCGTGACACACGCTCTAGAGCCTTGATAGCCAGCCGAACATCTTCCTTCGTGATATTCATGTTGAGAGCATGTCGGCGGAGAGCGTCAAGGATGCTATCCGAGTGCTGGGCAGTACCAGAAGGAGGTGGGCTGTTGGTGGCCAGACAGTGGACATCCACGCCAGCATGTTTACGTTCAGGCGGATTTGGAGAGCGGGAGTCGTTGTCGGTTTCGTACTCAGTGTCGGACCCGGAGTCAGTAGGCATGATGGCTGTAAATGATGGTCGTAAAGAAGAGGAACAACCGGATCGGCTGTGGCAGGCTTCGGGCGAGGACGCGTCGGTCACGTGCCGACGGCGATCGGCATGCCAGAGAGTTGGCCGAAGACATCAAGATAACGGTGCATCCACTCGCACGTTTCTGACAAATAAAGCATGTCCAGCGGCCTCTCTCGCAAAAAGAGGTACAGAGGAAGGTGCAAGAGGTCGATGCCGTCGATCCTGGCGTTTCCGTGTGGCACTGTTATCTTGGCGGGCCTTTCGCGAGCGCTTCCTGCTCTTTTTAGTCGGCATTGTGTCACTAATATCTGCATCGTAAACCGGTTTCGTACTGACGCCTTGATGGGATATGCGCAGCGAAGAACCGTCGAGCTGCGCTCCCTCATCGAGAAGAGGAGGCGCAGGGACGTTACGAGCATCGCCGCACTGCACACACAAGGATCGAATCCGATGCCCATGCGGACCAGAAACTAGATCAAAGTCAGATAATCCCCACAAAATGAAAGCATCAGCGCTGACACTTGATTGTCGATCGTGATGTTCTTCCTGGCAGCAACACGGAACCGCATCGAGAACAAATGGTTCGTTTAATAGTCGGATCCCTTGCTTGCCATCAATACACATCAAGCACCAAATCAGATGTTCGCACAACTTCGTAACTGTTTTCAGAGCAATCTCGCTCATGTCCTTCGTATATTGCCTAGATAGCTCATCAAGCGCCTTTGCACCCTCCGGATTGGATCCGCCGGTAAGAGAAGCTGCGTTTGCCAAGTACGCGCTTGCCTGGTACAGGAAGTTCATCCTCTGGAGTGCCTCGCGGTTTTGGATGCCCGCTGCGGTCGGAGCTGCTTGATGGTCCTTCTTGGCCATGGTGCCGGCCGAGGAGGAAAGGATGCTGCACACGGTCAAGGTCCAGACGAGGTCACAGGCAAAAACAGGTGTTAACACGGGAGCAACTTTTTGGACCCTAGAAAGTGCGTAAAGGTGCCGAACCGCCGACCCCGCATCCCGCAGGTTACATCCGGCGATCCGGTACGATATGTCATCGGGACGCGTGCCGACGAAGAAGATCCTATTCAGTCGATTCCGCGCCGCACATTCCGCGGCGCTTGCCAGGTATAAATATCCCGCGTGCTCGTTGAGCGTATAGGAGTTGATCTGAACTTCAACCATCAACATAACCTCGACGGGGTGGGACATACAGGATATCTGAAGCTAGAGGAGACGAGACGTGACTGTTGACGTGCTCGAACTCCATCACGCGATCATCGAAGTAATCTGCCAGCGTTCCTCTGTGCTATACCCATCTTGTAACAACAATGGCTCCTCGCACATACCATCCGCCACCGCCCCTGAAGTACTTTCTCATCCTCGACTTCGAAGCAACATGCGCATCTCCACGCCCCGTGAACTTCGTACAGGAAGTCATCGAGTTTCCCTGCATCGTGTATTCAATGGAGCAAGAGTATCCGACTGCGATGTTCCACGAATACGTAAAGCCCTTACTCTCTCCGCACCTGACCGATTTCTGCACGCGACTCACCGGCATTTCACAAGCAACGGTCGATAGCGGTGACAAGTTTTCCAATGTATGGCGAAGGTTTAACGAGTGGCTCGCTCGGCTGTGTCAGGACACGGATCCTAGATCATTCATCTTCGTTACATGCGGCAACTGGGACCTTCAAACCATGCTCCCTGCTCAATTGCGGCAATGCGGAATCGAGTTCCCGAGGAGAGAAACCGGTCATACTGGTGTGGACTTTACGCGATATGTCAACATCAAGGACGCATTCGCAGAGTTCTACGACAGTGATCCGCCTAGCGGGCTGCTAGAGATGCTTCACGTACTCGGGATGCAGCTGGAGGGAAGGTTCCATTCGGGAATTGACGACTGTCGGAATGTTAGCAGGATTATCGAGCAGATGAGGCGCGATGGTTGGAAGATTGAGGCTGATTAGTGCTGGCATCCGTGAGTCATACACCATGAATTGCCACTAACGTCATAATGTTGGTATCCACGACCATTTGTACAATACTTGTAACGACATGTGTGTAGTGTGTTCATAGTCCTGTAACAAATTCCGCGCTGTGCGCCTGATGTGGAATCTGACTCTGCTTCTGTGCCACGCATATAGTCGTCTCTCACACGAGGGGAGGATGATATGATAAGATGGACGGACGTTGCGCAATTTATGACATTGACAGACTGCGGATGTGCATGGTCATGGTACAAATGTAACGGGTACGGGGACAATGGATAGCAACAAGACAGGGTCGCGCGAGGGCGCGCGACTATTTGCTGTTGCCACCGAAAACCTTGTCGGCCACGGACTGCAGCGTCGACTTGTTCTGCTGTGAGAGCATGAGCTTGTCATCCGTCGCGCGGTTGAGAAAGGAACGCACCTCGCCCTCCGCCTTGCCAGCGACGTTGTCGGCCTTGCCAGAGATGGCGTCGCCGATATGCTCAGTGGTGGACTTCTCAGAGTCGGGCTGTTAAGTGTGAGCTCATATGTCGACGTGTTCAGTAAGTTACAGCCCACCTTGACCGCCGCGGAGATCTTGTCAGTAATATTGGAACGACCGGCGTCAGACATCATGAATGATCGGTAGTTTTGGTTGGGTGGGGAGTTTTGGTACTTGGGTTGGTTTGGTAGTCGGACGGGAATGAGATGGGTTCTTTACGAGCCATCCCCTGCTCGCTTTATATACGCACGAGCCTTGCCCAGCTGGTTCTCCGATCCCCAACTCCGAAAGAAGCTCCATGACGCGACGCGAACTTGCCATCGCTGAGCATGACGAGCGGGAGACGTCATCAGATCACGCCTCAGTCATGGGGCCACGAGATCTTGGGTCGAGAGCGTTCCTTCCCGAAATGGAAAGTTCAAAGGTCAGGAAGCGGAGCGCCCGACGATCGGTTTCAGATCTCTTGGGGTTGGCGAAGGAGTAGCCACAAACCGGTCTCTGCAGAACCTAAACGAGTAGAGAAGGTCGTGCAAAATGGGAACGAAAATGATGTCAGGGCCCGTGATGTCATCGTTCCCGCCCAACGGGCGGGTGGCGGTGCTGTCAGCCCTCTCATTAAATGCTCCGCATGGCTCGATTATCTTCTTCAAGGGCCGGACAGAAAAGCTCGAAGCGCCCGCATTAGAGTTGCAAGAAGTCCGGGTAAAGGTCGGGGAATTAAGGAAATTGATGAAGGTTTCATATGTCGTCAACTGCAACATAAGGACGCTGGAGGCCAGCTGCTCATACAGAACGGGCATAGTGAGGTAACAACCACAATGACGAAGGCTTCCATCTCAGGACAACTCCACGTTGCTCTTCACAGGAGCCGAGACCAAGATTAAGCGTTCGAGATACACCGCGGGGACCACGCTGATGTGCTTCAAGCATTCGATCTGTTGAGCGAAGCATATTTATTGCACAAATTCCGAGTACATCAGATGGGATGAACTCTAGGACCAAAGACCGTGACCGAGGCACCTGTTTGTATGAGTTCTATGTACGATCATTGGGTAAAACAGACCCACCTCCGCAAAGCATTTAGGAAGGAGTTCCCGAGCTGTGACCTTGAAGAAGCCAAATGACTTGATTATCTGGGCAGTCCAAATTCACCCAATGTTCTTCATCTAATACACGGCCTATGTACAACCACCTGCTTCTCGTGTTATGCTGTGACGGGTCGGAAGCGGCCCAGAAGGTCGAGGGGCGTCAACTGATGGAGAGTGTCTCGCCTTGTCTAACCCCGATATCGCCCCTATGGAAGGCACCAGATATGTATGGTGACTCATATTGACCAAGGCCATCGATATTGCACCCCTTTTCATGACTGAATAGAAGAATGATCTTCGTCGAAGGCCATCGAGTGTGTGCAGAGTGTGCCAGAACCTCCTAAGCTTTCGGCGGAAGTAATTTCTTCAATTGCCTCCAGGTGCCGCGTCAAGCTGGCAAACGCAAGTATCCAATGCAGCCCAAGTTCCCATAGATATAACACAGCGTCGTCGAGCGTTAATGAAAGCAGTAGTTATGGTCGTTTGATGCGAATAGTACAGATGAAATGCAGTGAAAGAGCGGTGTGTGCGCCTCTGAGATAGAGAAACGGATCCAATTTTGGTCGCGTGGCGGGCGGTGCTGAGACCCGAGGATGGGGGCTGTCGACGCTCATCTGCTCCTCCCACGTCCATTTAACGAGCGTTGTTGTGTTCGACCATCGATATTATTCTTCATTACCAAAATAACTTTGGCAACTTGGACAACACCTTCAACTATCGATAATACGGTTATTAGAAGGGGCATGTTCTATTGATCACGTGAGGAATATCTTCAAACTGTTAACAATTGGCAATCTACGAATCCATCGATATTAGGAACGTCAAGCGCTGTTGTTATCCTCGTCTCTCGTCAGGTCACTCAACCTGCATCTCCCTCTTGCCCCCCATTCCGCCCTCATGCTGGTTATCCCTCGACCCGAACCGTTTCGCCCTCCTCCAGACTCTGTTATTACTAGCCTACAACAAAGAGAACTCGATTTCAAGCAGCACACTCGAGAAACGCAACTTCACCCCGTCGTTCTATGTACTTCAACGCCCCTTCGTCGCCCGGACCGGGGCAGCAGCCTTGGGGACGCGCTCCTCACCAGGTACTCGGTGGGGTGGGCATTCCAGGCGCACCAGGATCCATCGGCGTCGTCCCACCCACACCATCCCCCGGAACTGGCTTCATCGGCGTACCAGGACCAGGGATACAACCGTACGGCCAGCCCCCGCCTCAATCTTCCATGCATCACTCCCATCACCCCCATCAACATCAACACTCCCTCCCCCATCATCAACACCATGCGTCGCTCAGCCAGCAGCAGGCTTGGGGCAGTCCGACAAACCAGCATACCATGTCAGGAGGTGTCGCAGTGGGGATGGGTTTGCAGGGAGGAGCGGCTGGTACAGGAGGTGGCATTGCGAGCATGAATGCCCAAACGCAGTTGAGGCCGCAGTCGCCTGGAGAGCTGACGAAGAATTGGCAAGAACAGCTTCGAGTTGGTCACGTACGTCCCGTATTTACTTCCCAGTTTGCTGTCCGGACTGATCGTTGCGCTTGATTGCTCCCGCTAACCATCTTTGGTAATGACCTATATACCCATAGATGTGTCGAATTGCGTCTGCTCCTCATCACCGCGCACGCCAGTCCGCCTTCACACAGCGGGCCGTCGCCAAATCCGCCATCCCAATCACCGACCCCAATGCACCCCGCCCTCCATCCACCAACGGCATCGCTCCATTCCCGTCCTCCTCCTCTGGCCAAGGTGCCGCCCTTACCAACGGCACCAGCGGTCATCATCAACAGAACAGTTCCATCTCATCCCTCTCCTCCATCGACCCCAATGCGAAGAACCCACCCAGTGTCAGTCATACGCCTCAATTGCAAGCTGTCAACGGTGTCAACAGTGCCGCGCTCAAAGACAATGCTGAGGGTCCGCCAGCAGCGTCTGCCAAGCAGCAGGACACAAACCCATGGACGACGCTCGACATGGGTGGGATGCAGCTCAAATCCGTCTCTCCCCGCCTCTACACGTTCACGTACCTCAAGACCCTGTACATGAACCACAACCGCCTCACCACTCTCCCGCCAGCGATCGGAGCGCTCAAGCAATTGGTGCACCTCGATCTGACCTCCAATCAGCTCATCACCCTCCCTCCCGAGATTGGTCAGCTTACGTCACTGAAGGAGCTAATGCTGTTCGACAACAACCTCACCGCGTTACCGGATGAGATGGGTACCCTGCACCAACTAGAGTTCCTGGGCATTGATGGCAACCCGCTTCCTGCGGAGATCAGGCAAACGCTCCAGAAGGACGGTTGCGCTGCCGTCATCGCAATGCTTCGTGATACGGCGCCTATCCCTCCTGCGCCCGCAGAGCGACCCTGGCGAGACCTCATGCTACCCGGAGATGCAGTAGACGGCGAGACCTTTACTGTAGTCAACTACAATATCCTCTGCGAGCGGTACGCGCCGCAGTCTTTGTATGGCTACACTCCTGCGTGGGCGCTGCGCTGGGACTACCGGCGGCAGCTGGTTCTGGACGAGATCACCAATCTCAATGCGGAATTGGTGTGCCTTCAGGAAGTGGATGTCCAGACGTTCGAAGAGTACTTCGTCCCGAAGCTCGCAGATCTAGGATATGAAGGGTTCCTCTGGCCAAAGAGCCGCGCGAGAACGATGGCGAAAGACGATGCTCGGCGTGTCGATGGATGCGCGATCTTCTACCGCCAGGAAGTCTTCCAGCTCATCGAGAAGCAGCTACTAGACTTCCAGGCCATCGCCGTTCAGCGGCCCGACTTCAAGAAGACAGATGACCTGTTCACGCGCATGCTCACCAAGGACCACATTGGTGTTGTCGCTCTGCTCGAGAACAGGAAGACTGGGTCGCGCCTCGTCCTCGCCAACTGTCACTTGCATTGGGACCCTGAGCTGCGTGACGTCAAACTCGTCCAAGCTTCGTTGCTCATGGAAGAAGTCGACAAGATCGCCGATCGGTTTGCCAAGCTCCCACCCAGAATTAATGTCGTCCCCGAGTCGGTCCCCCTGCCGAAAGGCACGCCCAGTCCTGGTCCAGAAGGCGACAGTGTCTCGACGGCAAGTGCATCCGAGAAAGTCAATGGTATGGAAACAACGGAGACAAGCTTGACCGAGCCCTCTCCTGCTGCTTCCGCGCCCTCGCTGCCCTCGCCTGTCAAGAAGTATCTTACTTTGCCTGGTGGCCTGAAGGGCATGCCTCTGGGCCCGTCATACCCGGATGGCTCGAAGATCCCCACCATTATATGTGGTGATTTCAACAGCATCCCTGACTCTGGTGTCTACGAGTTCATGTCAAGCGGTATGGTCGCCCCTGACCATCCTGATTTCATGACGTACGAGTACGGCACATTCACTAGCAAGGGTCCCAAGCATCGTCTGAAACTGCGCTCCGCCTATGCCGACATCCCGCAGCTGACCATGACAAACTACACTCCGAACTTCGAGGGCATCATCGACTACATTTGGTATTCGACTGATACGATGGCTGTGAGGAGCGTACTGGGAGAGGTGGACCCTGCATATCTGGCAAAGTCGGTCGGATTCCCGAACGCTCACTTCCCATCCGAGTGCGTCCCTGTCTTTTCTAGTATTGATGAATGAGGCTAACTGTTTGTTCAGCCATCTGTGCCTCGCTGCTGAATTCCGTCTCAGGGCAGCCCCTGCCTCCAGTTCCGCCCCGAAACCGAAGCCGGCCTTCTTCCCTAATGGCAGGAACCACATCAATCGAGCAAGAGAACAGGACTGAGACCAGTCGAGACCTTTTCCTCCCGCTTTGCATTATTCTTTGCGTGAATCCATCGTCTCTATGTGTCTGTACAACTCGTGTTGTCTCCTGTAGTTTGTGTTTTTCATTCTTACTTTCAATATCATCTTTTCTTTCTTACCCTTGATTACTTCCGCATCGTGTGGTGAGAGTCAAAGTTCTCTTTTCGTCTTGTTGCCGAGTGTGGTCTTCCTGCACTGGAGCTCATTGTCTTCCTTTGAACTCACTGTCGGGCGCTTGTTTTGTCATTCGCGTAAATACAGACCGAAGATATGAATAAATATTTTCTGCTCCTCTCCAACGAGTAAGTCGATCGGTTACATGGGTTTATCATTAGATGGACTTTTCTCGCTAGATCGAATATCTACACGCGCTTGTCGTCCGTTGTGCGCGTCGCGGCTCTGATTTTCGTTGCTTGCCTGGTCCGCTTGCGTGCCTGCTTGGTCCCTTCGTGACGGCCACTCTTCTGAAAGCAGCGTTTTTTCGAAGATGATTTGAAAGGCCGTCAGCTCGCTTGAAAGCGCTGCCACAATTCGCACATGTGGACAGCTTGACACCTCCATGTATTAAGCCGGCATGTCTGGCCGCATCGCCCTTCCGGCCAAACGTCATGTCACAACCTTGGTAGTAAAGGGGGCAGGGAAACCTGGTCCTTTCGCCGACAGAACTGGGGGTAGATGCATGCGCATCGATCGTAACAGCGTTCTCGTCCCGCTGAAACGTACCGCCCATATGTGCGACCTATACACTTGTCAACAGTAGCCACGGCCAAAAAAACCCAGATGACTGACGTCCTCGAAACAGGACGGGGACGAGCTCGTACTCATGCGACGCGGGATTGGGGTCATTGTATGATCGAGGAAATCAGACTCCTTCGAAACCTGTATCCCCGAATTCATTTCAGCGCGATAAGGAAAACGAGTCACATACGGGAACGGCAGGGGGGTCAGAAATGGTGAAGTTTGGTGAGTTTTGGACAGAGCCAATCTCACTTCCCCATAAGGTTGATGCGCCATCCATTTCTAGCATTGTCGGGTCGTCTTCGAGCGTACGCCAATCGACGATATCTTCCAAGTCGAGCATAATATCTCCATACAACTCTGGTAGCTCAGGTACACCACTGAGAAGACCACCTCCAAATATAGTTAGGGGAATAAGAGGAAGCTGTTGATCCATGAATACCTATCAACGTCCACAGAAATACCAGCTTACCATGCAAGATGTTTTCAATCATAGGAATTCCAGAGACGGTAATCGAGTGAAACAGCAGTCGATGTGCTACCCAGGGTGGTACGCCATCTTATCATGCCTGACCAGGTACCTCGACTTACGCCGCATCTCACCGTCTATCTTGTGTCAGTGACGACGCCGGGCAAATTCTCCAACGCGCCATCCAGAGTGTTGGAACGAGGAATACAAATTCATCAATGTTGCCAGGTAACATCGACGGTAATATTGCAAACGAGTCAAGGCCGTCATTGGTGCAAGACTATTGGGTGAGCAAGGGCGCCGAACATGGAGCCTATGATGGACAGCCTATGTAGAATATTCCGTCTGATCTTGCGTAGTGTACGAGAGGCGTTCGTAATTCGATGTGCTCAAGTACATCTTCTTGAGGCCGCGAGACGTCAAGATCACAGAGCGAACAGAAGAGATTGTCTCCTTTTGATAAATTCGAAGAGTGGTCAAGTGCCGATTGTTGTCAAGGTATACGTAGAAAAGAAGGCAGATCGAGGGACGGGCATAAGAGAAGACGAAAGAACGCACGACCTTCCGTGCGGGCAGGGTCTGCATTCGCGGCTTCGGTAAGTCCTCCGGTGAGGAGAGATTAACAGCGCTTCATTTTTTGACCGATCTGTCGACAAGGAACAATCTGAGACACTGCCGATCATGAAAATTTGTTATTCGGAGAAATGCGACGACAACGATCAATTCGACCTCCATTGATGACCTTGTAAAAGGGTGGTCGGTATTCAACTGCCTGCCACGGGCGTCACATGTTGAAGCTACATAAAAAATGGACTGATGAGGAAGGAAAAACCTGCAACGACGGTGTTCAATCCCACTCTCGCGGTCCCAAAGGCTGGTCCTGTTGTCAAGCGGGGCAATTCGATAAAATTCCAAACATAACCGCAAGGGCTTTACTCGACTGCCGGGGTTTCCGATGATGTCGGTATGTCCGTACACGTGGCGCTTCGGAAATGGCCGCGTTCGCTCGGCCCCACAGTATGACAATATATCGCAAAAGTCGCTCGAGTGGAGAAGCCAGATTCAGAAGTCAACTTGTCGCTGTAGAATCTCAGTTGCATGGTCCCCTGTTCCCGTACCCGTGGTCTCGGCGACGGCATCCGCACCTAAAATTATCTTCCTTTGGGCTGAGTATTGTCTGAGAGTATCCCACTTACTCTTCATTTCGACCGAAAATGGGGGGGACGGGAAACATATCCGATCCCTTGCTTACAGTACCGGGCAGATTTTTCTTTCCAGCATAGCGTGATCCATGTGTTTGAGCTTCTGAACATTTTCTTCAGGACAAGCGCCGAGGTGGTAGCCAGTCAACACAAGAACGCCCCCGCGGAACTGCTCCATGGATGGCGCTTTGGCGAAGTGATCGCGCAGTGGCGATTGTGGAGACGTGAGACCCAATGTTGACTTACGAATGCTTTAGAGGAAGTGTGTAGTCAGCATCCGGAATAAGGACGAGCAAAGATGTTAGCAGTTCAAGGAAGTCCATCTCGCGCCGCGGCCAGCTCAGTATCTCGGGACGGACTCCGTACGGACGGGCTTGAATCCCGTCGACACGAGGCAAACAGAAGGGGAAAGTGAAAAAGGAAGACCGTAGCAAAAGTAGTAGCAGATGTCCGTTGATACAAAAGACAGATCTAGACTCCTGTAGGAGCCTTGTTCCGATCGCTGCCGAGCTTGGCAACTACGCAAGCTTGAAATGAAACGACATCACAACTTCTTATTGAGAAGTCGATTGAGTGGGCTGGGTGCAAGTTGTAACATGCTGTTTCCAGGAGATCATACTTCTCGAAAATGGACGGGCAGCGCTTGATGTATATTCAGCACAAGGAACCAGGAGACGAAATAAGCGCTACACGCCCCAGGCGCTTTGTCATCGCACTGCCAAGGGGGGTCATTAATACAGTCCGTCCCTATCACACCCTGAGGTGGGCTAATCACTTTTATTCAGATGATGGGTCAGCATCTGACTTATCGGGCTGACCATTTGACAAGCATTGTTAAGATGTGTCCAACCCTCGTGCGTCGGTCATCAATGCCATTCTTTCCTTCTTCGGCGATAAGCTTGATCCGGAATAAGGTGTGCAACTGAGAAAATGATCGAGAACGGAGACGGTTCATCCTCGGAGCGGGCTGTTTCTTTGACACATGACTACTATACATTGTTTCATACCAGCGAGACCATTCGTCTCGCTTAGCTAACTAATTGAAACTACGTACATCGCCCCCTCAGTCTGCCTAATCCACATAAACAGAGAGCAAGATATCTGTGATAGCATTAATATGGACCAGTAGAATGAATAGCAGTGCTTTTGCATCTCCGTCAGAACGGCCGGCGGAGTCTTTGAAGCGCATGATCCCCGACTGTGATATACCTGAGTGCGACCTAACGGTTACCGATCCTGTTACTGAATACCCCATGTAATCGAGACTGGAGCCAGTAAGGGGAATGGCAGAATGAGGGATGAAACCGTATTTGGTATGTTGAAAGTTTCAGCAGAAGTGTCGCATAACTCCGTTGTGAACTGGTGTCCGGGGTCCCCATTCAGCCCGCTTAGCTAAGTGACACATGGTTTACCCTGGGCGGCCACGGGTTTCCGCTCGTAAGTGGCTGACATAATGGTTTTTCATGTGAATGCTCCCGTTCGTCCAGTATGTTCATCCGACGTGGCTGCGTGGGTGAATGCGGTGCTACCATATTAATATTCAGAGACGGGGTGGACGAAGTAGTTGGAGCGCGCGGCTGTTAATATTTAATCTTTTCGAGCTGGCGGTCTGCGCGGTGGAGGGCAGTACTTCCAGCGATGACAGAGATGTTGAGAAATGGCTGGACCCCGCCCGCAGCAGTCGGTTGGTGGGTAATCTCCGGCCGTTGTGCGTAAGATGAATGAGTTAGAAGCACGTGGGTCAGCATAAAGTGACAATCAAAACATCATCTTTTTCCGTTCTGCATGTGAGTGCATGGCCAGAAGGAGAGTTTAGAAAAGGGAGAGTGTTGGCTGACGATCGAAGATTGCTTACGCGATTGCGCCTCGCTCACATAAGAGTGGGACCCTCGCCCGTTTGCCCGCCTCCCCCTTCCTTGGTCAGTGAACACATTCATTGGCTCTAATTCAGCTCTCCCATTCATCCTCTCCGCCGCAGTATTAATGTCTGCACCGCTCTCCTCCTCCCTCCCCTACCCAACTTCTCAACCACCACCACCCCCACCACCATCGTCAACGCAGCACCAAGCTATTGACCCACACCTGCAGCACCCAATGTATGCAACTGACTATCCTCGCCCACCGCATCATCCACACCCGCACGCAACAGTTGGTGCACCCCTTTCCTCGCGCTACCAGCCATACCCAGCAGGGCTAGTGCATCCCCCTCCCCCTTCAGCGCGTGTAGATGGACCTCAGCCGCACTCGAATGAGCAAAGTCCCGAGGACCAGGGACAGGGTGCGGGGAGGGTACTGAGCACCAGCAAGAGAGCGGAGCAGAACCGGAAGGCACAAAGAGCGTTTCGGGAGCGACGAGAGCAGTACGTCTATCCTTTTCATGTTTATCCATTCTATTCCTTCTAGTGTATCTTTTATCCCTCCACTCTCGGTGTTAGAAGTATATGCTAACCCACGAACAGGCACGTAAAACAGCTCGAATCCCGTTCCCAACTACTGGACGCTGCTCTAGCCTCCGCTGACGCAGCAAACCGTCGATACGAAGAAGCCCGAGCAATGGTCGAGCAGCTCCGGAGTGAAAACACCGCTCTCCGAACTGCTCTCCAAGCTGCGTCCGGAGGCTCAGGGTCGGCGGCTGCGGCTGCTATACCTCCTGCTTCTACTGTACAGTTGGGCAAGCTCAGCCCACCCAGGGAGTCGAAGGTTAATGGCAGCTCTGCTACTGCAGCGGGGTCCCCCAGGAGCCAACAGCCGGTCAGTGACGCACGGAGTGAGGGACGCGGAGGGAGCAGGGGAAGCCACGACGAGGTTGCTGAACAGATGGACGAACCATGACTATCCTGGATGGTCCGTTGTATGCTGTTGGTATCTCTTGACTTGGTTTGTCTGTCCTCCCACTCTGCCAGAAAACCTTACGCTCGTTGTGCACTACTTCGACGATGTCTCGATATAGCTGTTCCTTCCCCTTCCTGTTGTAGGCTCGCCGCGCTGGGTGGCATAATCTATAATGATATTACTCGTCTCTCCCTTTCATATTCTTGCCAGGCAAGACCATAACGTACTGTACAGCACCCACACCGTCCTCGCCGACTGGCTGAGCGGGGCACCGACTGTCCATTTCAATCTTCAGGGTCTCTCCGGTGGTGTATATCGAGGGGTTGCCAAGAAGCATTAACGGACGCCTCGCGAGGGATTTGTCAGCCACCTGACACTGACTGGGCGCTCTATTCACACTGCGGCCGGCAACCCCTCCGCACGAACTGGTCAGTTCCATGCTCACCCACACCATACCCCATTGATTCTCACCCCGTGCAACATCCACCCTGTCCGTAAACCATGATCGGACGAACCACAAATGCGTAGTGCCGCAGTGCCGTTCTCCCGGACCTATCGGCGTTAGCCACAGCCAAGAAGGGAATGTGTAAGCCCCTTGTAAAAGCCGGGAGCGTGCTTTCTCGGGGCTAACAGGGGCTTACAGGGATGATAGAGGGCGCTGACCAATCTTTCCTGTCTTGTGAATCGGCATCAGCGCAGAGGCGCCCATTTGTCGGTGGTTCTCTTGCAGGGTTGGTGTCCGTCCCAGTTGTCTTTCTCACGCCGAGCTCGCCGGCTCTCCATGCTTCCCCTCGCCGCGGAGGGCCAAGTCCGCCCCGAGCCCTGATGAGGAATGTCATGTCAGCCGGGCCGGGATGAGTCAGCACAGAAGATATGGTAAGTGGCTGCTATGACGTGACATATGGGACAAAAATCCGACCAGTAGCGGAATCATTCGACATTCATCCGCTCCACTCGAAAATCATTCAACAATCATTTGATAATCATTTGCCACTTGCTAATCATCTGGGGCTCATCCAACAATCATTCAACAATCATTCCCATTGGTCACTCAACAATCATTCCCATTGGTCACTCAACAATCATTCATGCCTTCAGGTCCGAATGATTTGTCTTTCCCACTACATACCTGTGACTGGCTGCTTCTCATTGGATGGCCACTCCTCTTCTTAGACATTGCACTTCCCCCCTCACCTCATAACCCCACACCCCCACACACAAATATTCTCACCCTATTGCCCAATTGACATCCTTTGGGGTCCTTACACAGCTATTTGGCTTTGGTTACAAGCATCTTATAACAATGATCTCTTTATTTCATGCCACAAACCTCCCCTCCTCCCCTCAGAGAAAGTTAGATAAACCATAGAGTATTTTTTTGGTTTTAAGTAGTATTATAATCACCTATTTCTATATACAATTACACAACAGCCCAATTTTTAATGGTAACTGGTGACAGGCATTTAACGCCCACCTTTTAGGGAGGCACAAGCTAGTCAGATTTGCCTCTGCTGGCCTGTCCACCTTTGGGCATGTGGACACCTGTTTTGCTCATCTCCTCTTCTACCTCATTCCATTGTCTTGCAATGGCATCCGCCCAACCCAACACCCATGCCACTCCCAATTCTCTCCATCCCCACAAGACCACCACCTTGGGCCATCTCAGCAGCAAGATTTTCAGTGGTCAAGGGCAGGCTGGCAGAACATTGTGTGTCAACAAGGGTAAGGGCAAAGAACCTGCCTGTTCCTCTGAAGATGACTCCGACACAACCCAACTCCTGCCCAATGTGGAATCTTCTAGTTGCCCTGGGTGGAAATCCTTCAATGTGGATCAACATGTTGATGAGGAGGAAATGACGCAGGTTAGTGACAGGCATTCTGTCCAGCTGGCAGGATATTCCCAGCGTGATGTGTTGGATTCCCAGGAGTGTGTGGTGCACATACACACAGTGCACCCCTCACTCTCATCCTTCAAACGTCACACTGACCAACTTTGTAGGATCATATTAACATAATGACTATCCCACCTACTCCTACCCTGACCATGAACACCTCCCTGACATTGTCATGCCATGCATGTGCTCCCCCTCTCACCAGCAAGCAGACCAAAGAGCTTCATGACCTGCAGCATCAGCGCCTCAGTCACGACCTGTGCAAATGCACTGAAGCTTGGTGCAATGCCTGTGCCTCCTGTGGCAAATGTCTTGCCTGTGATGATACCATCTGCATTACCTGTGGTCGCAAAACATGCTGGGGATATGGGATCTTCTGCCAAGCATGGGGCGACAAGTGTTACCTGGAGTGCATTCATTACACCAAGCAACTCTTCTTTTGGATGCTTATACTTGGCCTCATTATCTGGGGCATTGTAGCACATGAGTTCCATCTTCTTCTTACCATTCTTCAATACTCAATGGCCATGTCCAGTCATCCTTCACATCCATGTGGGTCAGTCCCTGCTAACCAGTCTTCCTTCCCCCACATCTATCATCTCATCCTCTGCTGCTCCTTCTCCTTCTCATTAGGTTAATCTTACGTCTCACTGCATGTCCCCCATCATTTCACCCTTCTCTCAGTCTTCACTGTTTGTCATCACTCCCTGTTTATGATACAGCCAATCAAATGCCACTCCCATCCCATTCCAGTCAATCCTGATTATGCTCCTCATGGTACCTAGCATTAGTCATGGGCACCTCAAGCACAGTAGTCCACCTTCTACTTAACTTTTGCTGTCTGCCCCACCCATTAAATGACTATGCCATTGAAACTTCAAATTCCTGAATCAATGACCCTGAATAGCCCTGAAATAATGACCTCATACCACATTGTGTTACCTTACCCACACATGATATTAAAACTTGAAATTGCCACTCACGACCCTGAATCTGCCTGATATGCTCTCATGTCACCCACACATGATATCTTGGCACTGGTTGGGCATGCAGTGCTGCAGAGGGCATGGAGGCAAATCCACCCTTCCATTTTCCCCATCCCCTTATCAACCTCACCCCTCTTGTGTTTGTCCTCAAGTACTCTCACTAGACTCTTGACCTCTACAACTGACAGTTTTCATTCTCTCTCAACAGCATTAGTATCTAACCTCCCCATACATCACTCTATCTGCCATGTTGTGCATGCACAGTGCCACTCTCTCCCTCGCTACCACCAACAACCATGTCTCCACTCTCCAGAGCGTGCACAGCAGCTCCCCCTCTCTGCTGGGTAAGCACATTGAATGCATCTTGTTCTTTCCACCATTTAATGCACACTCATTAATTCAGGTTTAAATCAACCTGTGCCACTCTCCATCCTCAGTCTCCCTGCACTGGTACAATGGATCTCTGCATCTCTGCCAAATCTCATACTGAGCCTGCCCCGTTTCCAGGTTCTAGTCATTCCCTCCCCACCTTGCAAACCATCTGTGCTTGCACTCCCTCTCCTGGACCACACTCAGACAGTCCAGGGCAAGTCAGCCCCTCTGGAGACAAATCTGCTTCTGGACATATGTTTCCAGCATGTGGGGCTCACACATCTGCTGATCTGCAAGGCTTCAATAATCCCATCCCCTCTTTCCACACCAGTGACTTGACGAATGGCATGCCTGCTAGGCCTGATCATCCCATCCCCACATTCCACACCAGTCACTACACAAGCCATGCCCCTGCTGGGCCTGATCATCCTGTCCCCACCTTCAAGACCAAGGTGCAAACAAGCCCCCTCCTCATTAGGACTGCCAAACATATGCCCATTGAGAACCTTGCCAGAAGTCTGGATGGCAGTCTCGCCAGTCTGGAAGATGTTCTTCCGGTGCTGAGCCATGGAGATAGCTCTGCATCCAGCATTGTGGGTCTCAATGACAAATGTCACTCCATCTCTGGTGTGGCCCACAAACACCCATCCGGTAGCACAATACTCAACAGTCTTGACATGGCTGTCTGCACACCTCAAGGCCAACGACCACATCAGCAGGAGATGGGGCCTTGTTCTGCGCATGTCTTTGGTAATCCATTTATTGAATGCCATGAAGTGGATAGATCTCATGTTATCTCTCTTACTTGCTTTGGCATATTGGGCAGAGTTGACATGCCCAATGAGGCTATGGATGCTAAGAAGTGGTTTTGTGAAGAGAAGATCAGACAAGCGGATGCATTATTGGATGCCATCTACTGCGTTGTTGAGGATCCTGCCAGCTCATTCAGTGTGTTGTGTGGATATGATAGCAATCAACCTCCCCACACTCAAAGGCAGATGGCTGAGGTCAAGTCTCATGTACAACAACAACAGCGTCAGCAGGCTGAGGAAGAGGGTTTGCATGTGGCAAACATGCTCTTCACTGTCATTGGGGCTCTGGGTCATGCAGTGGATGCTGTAATGGGTGGGGTCAACAGGATGTGGAATGGTCATGTTCAACTGGCTGGTGCCTCTTTGTAACCCTTATGTACTAATATGTTCTATGTGCCCATGCTTTTTGTAAGACAGTGTCCTGTCTGTATGATCCCATATGCTGTAATCAGGGGCAATGCCATCCAAATTCACTTCAGGGTCCTTACCAACACCATTCTTGGTTTCCATTGCTCCCAACCTCAATTCTGAGGTGGTGTTAGGGCAACACAGGCTGATTAAGTCTGCTCACCTAAGAGTGCCAAGAGTCTAAGCAGGCAACAAGGAAGTGGAGTAGACCTGATGACTAAGACCTATCTACAGTATAGGTACCTGTGGATGATCCTAAGAGACCAAGTCTGAAGAGACAGTCCCCAGGCAGAGTAGGCCTTATATTTATACCTCTGTGGTGGAACCTGCTAGAACATCTTGCTTACTCAGCCTAGTCAGGTGATCAGGTCATATGACCAAGGATGAGGTCATATGAGGTCATGCACAGCCATGCACAGCAGGTCACCTGACCATCC